GAAAATCATGTAAAGCCGATCATTGCCATCAACTCGAGAACGAGACATCGTATTTCCACTATCTCCCTGAGTTTGATAAACCGCTTACTGTTTAGATTAGGGATGATATGTTTCTTATCCGGTGTATCAATGCTAAAAAAATGAAAAGTTTTGGTGACCTGGGGACAGAAATCGTCCAATCTCAGCTCCGCTGTTATTCATGGGCTACTTCCGATGTTGAGTTCTTGGACAGATACAAAATATGACGTCCAACTTTGTATCCAGACAGCAGAACGGAACCGAAGATCAAACTAAACACCAAAGGTCTTCCAATTAATTGAAGGTCGCTCCCTGTCAGACTGGAAAAAGTTTTTATCTTCCAACGAAAATAAGCAAACATTGCTCAGTTTCTTGGGAATATAATTGTTTGTAACCACCAAAAGAAACCTAATACACTAGCAAATAATAGTGAACTTACTTTAGGCGGATTTTTTTCCAATCCTCAAATCGAAAACGCATTTGTGCTAAAACTGTCATTGACTGCTTCGAGCTTTACAGTACGCATGGGGAACTGATACGCGTATGATTGTACACGCCATGTATGCCGATAGACAGTTTGGAAGTTGTAGCTGTAAAGGAAGGATCATAGTGAAATCCCCTGGCACGGATTTTTAAGTTCTTTGTTTCCACTATTATTCTTCCTAGAAAAACACAGAATAACTTTGGTTTGAAACAGGAACTATAACCAGCACCAAGGCGGCAGGACGTTTTATACTTATGCATGAACTAAGCAATTTTTTAAATTCCATCGTCAGTCAATGCTTGCCTGTAGTGCATGTAATTTCAGGATGTGACTCCCCATCGGCAATGTTTGGTATAGGTAAAAAAAAACGGTTTTCAAAGTCCTGAAACAGGTTTGTAGTGATGTGTCCGATTTAGTAAACCAGGCAAACTGTGATGTAGATGAATCTCTTTCAGGTCCAAGAAAGCTCGTGGCTGTTTCGTGATCAAAAGAGTAAATTCAAAAGCGTACACAGTGACCTCAATAAATTACGTGTAAATCTTTCGACTACTAAAGATGCGTCTCTGGCCAAGCTTCCCCCTTGTGAATCATCATTTAGGCAACATTTGCTTAAGCACCTGTGCAGACAAGTATATGGATGACATTACATCTTCCAATACCGCCTTTCAGATCTCCGTAAAAGTTTGAATGGATTGATAAGGATGGTTTGGACCCGGTGTTTTTCGAGAGTCAAATGTCTTCGGACTTCATACAAGACCTTGTTTGTACTTATAAAGGAAAATATGTGTGCTCAAATGAATGTGTTTGCTTTGAGCAGAACCTCTCATATACAGACCTACGTCCATGCCAAGCAAGTGAAATGTGTGGAAACATTAAAACACGTTTTGTGATGGTTGATAGATATAAAGATGCTGAAGATCAGGCTTCAGTATCTTTTGAAGACTGTGGTACGTTGCTAGGAAAAAAAAGAGGGTTATGGGAGTAAAACCGATCATGTTATATACATTAACCAGAGTAAAATACACAACAGTATATAGTGCTATGGAAGCAGAAACATTCGGTGAAAAAAAGAAGCAACGAGTCGTCTATATAAACAAGAGGCTCTTAAGAGCCTGAATCGCTCACATGTAATTTTTTGCTTAAATCTTTCATCATTGATTATTTTTGCTTTTTAATATATATTAATGAGTGGCTTAAAAATTCCATTGAGATGTTCTTTGTATCTGTCATATTTTCCTCAAAAGCAAAGAAATACATTTTACCCATATGTTCCATTTTAGCCAAAGTGGCTATGTTTCTTGACGTTCAAGAAAATAAAATACAAAATTTATACTAGATACTCTGAAACTCATTCAGCCCAAGTTTGGCTGAAATTGATTCAGCAGTTTCAAAGGAGAAGATTTTTTAAAGTAAGCAAACTAGATGAACAAATTGTGAAAAATTGTCTTTAAAGGGCAATAACTCCTAAAGGCCACATTTGACAATTTTGGTCATATTAACTTATTTGTAGATCTTACTTTGCTGAACATTTTTGTTGTTCACAGTTTATATTCAAGATAATAACCAAAAACTGCAAAATTCCTTAAAATTACCAATTTAGTGGCAGCAACCCAACAATGAACTGTTAGATTCGTCTGAAAATATCATGGTTGATAGAACTTGGCCTAATGAACATTTTAACCTCTCATCAGATTTGCTCTAATTGCTTAAGTATTTGAGATATATTAGCCAAAAACTGCATTTTACCCCTATGTTCTATTTCAGCCATGGTGGCCATGTTTTTTGACGAAACAAAAACAAAAAAAAAACATTATTCTGGATACCATAAGGATCATTCAGCTTAAGTTTGGTTGGAATTGGTTCAGTGGTTTTAGAGGAGAAGATTTTTTAAACTTAGAAAACATGATAAACAAATTGTGTAAAATTGCCCTTAAAGGACAATAACTCTTTAAGGGGTCAATTGACAATTTTAATCATACAAACTTATTTGTAGATCTTACTTTGCTGAACATATTTGCTGTTTACAGTTTATCTTTATCATTAATACTATTCAAGATAATAACCAAAAACTGCAAAATTTCCTTAAAATTACCTATTTAGTGGCAGCAACCCAACAATGGGTTATTAGATTCATCTGAAAATTTCAGGGCTGATATAACTTCACCTAATGAACACTTTTACCGCGTGTCAGATTTGTTCTTACTCCTTTGTTTTTTTAGATATAAGCCAAAAACTGCATTTTAACCTATGTTCTATTTTTAGCCATGGTGGCCATGTTTTTTGACGAAACAGAAAATAAAACACATACTTTATTTTAGATACCCAAAGGATCATTCAGTTTAAATTTGGTTGGAATTGGTTCAGTGGTTTCAGAGAGGAAGATTTTATAAAGTAAGAAAACATGATAAACAAATTGTGTAAAATTGTCCTTAAAGGGCAATAACTCTTTAAGGGGTCAATTGACAATTTTGGTCATATAAACTTATTTGAAGATCTTACTTTGCTGAACATATTTTCTGTTTACAGTTGATCTTTATCATTTATACTATTCAAGATAAAAACCAAAAAATAAAAAAGTAAAAATGCAGGAATTGATGGAACAATGTGATAACTGTCCAAATATGAGAAAATAAAGGGTGTCAGGTAGGTGAAACTTGCATAAATGAAGAAATAAATGAAAAATGAACAAACTGAGGCCCGATTTATATGGATCCAAGGCCGTCAATCGGCTCCAGAAGCAACGAAGCGGCGCATCAATTTTGGACGGGCAAATATCCACTTTTTGATATGGGACGAGCTTTGACGTCCCACGGCCCCAGCTTGACTGGCAAAACTGCCGTTGGACGTCAGAGTAATCTCGGACTATAAACCGTTTATGGGTTGAAAACTGGATTTTTAAAGTTTTGTTTATAAAACGTTGTTTTGGGGATTGTTTGAGAAAAATATCTATGATTAAGGTTTATGAATAAAAAATAATCCGGATGTAAAATAAGCGTTGAAACACAGAAAAAAATATTGAACTTTTTTTTGAGACCGTAATTGGCGAAATGCGCATCTGATAAAAAAAAAATTGAGACCGTTCAAGTTACTGCAGTCATCATTGACATTACAATGAGTCCTTGAAAAAGTCGCAATTTGACATTGCTTTGCAGGATAGACCAACTAAATTAGTGAATTTTTGTAGTAACTTTTTGATTTCATACTTTTTCTGCAATTCTTTCATTCATTACTTTTATCTTCATGGTTTATTATAGCATATATATATATAAGGCTAAAACCATATATTAACTGTGGCAGTAATAACTCATCAAACGCTTTTAAGCATCGGAAGCAGAAATATATTTTCCTTTTTTGCGTATCTTTGAAGCGCCTTCAGTTCTTAAAACTTAGAAACTTTCGCTGGGCATACTACAGTGAGTTCTTTTCTTAGACCAAACACCGATAGGACTGTATACATTTTTCGGTTAAATCAGTCTAACATTTGACCTGAATCGAAAGACAACCATGTGATGAATCATATTATGATGTACAGAAATTGCTATTTCCAGCGGCAAGTATGAATATAATATATATTTTCATGAAAAAAGAATTCGAAGTGTATTTGCTCAAGATTTGTAGTTTTTGTTTATAAGAGCATAGTTCCTGATACTTAATAGCAGATGCAACAGACTCTCTTCATTCAAGTCCGAAATTGGCAAATTAGTGTTTTCATTGACACAATCGCCTTTTGTTCCACCAGTGCATTGGAAGCGTCATCCGTATTATCATACTAGCATTCAATGAAAAAGTTATATAAACACTTAGTATGAAAGGTCGATTATGTTGCTAAATTGTCATCATCAACTTTCACATCGTTACATTTTTGCTAATTTATTTGAAATTTCAATCATTGGGTCTTCGCGAACATTCTCCTTTATAAGGAACTCTGCAAAACTGTAGAATGACTAAATTTGAATATTTTCTCGGATTCAGCTGTCAACTCAAAATTGCATTCTAAATGAAATTCGTAACGAGTCCGTTTTTGTGAAGAAGTGTCATTTCCGTGTTTATCTAAGTCATGCATTATCCAGTTTGAGGTTGCCATTTCGGATGAATGATTTTTAAATGACTACAATAATGTTTTTACCAAGTGAACTCGTAATCCTTACATTAAAAGTTAACAGTCACCCGTAGTGCACCCTAAATGCAAACTTTGTTTTCAGCTTGGGTAATTAAATTCTTATTGTAAAACCTGTGTAAACACTGGACATTACGTAAACATTAATTTTAAATTGGGAATTGAAAGGTTTTGACAGAGTTTGTTGCAATACACATTTGGTGTCTGGACTACAAAAGAACTCGGTATTCGGTGCTGAATATATAAATAAGTATCTTTCTGAGATTGATTTTTTTTAAATTGAATTCGTACATTAAAAAATTATTTTCCTTTCCTAAAATGCTAAATTCATTTCTCTCAAACGCAATGGCTTATCTTTCAGTTATTATTACTTAAACTTACACCATACTAGATATGCAATCTGTGCCCCAGAATATTGTAAACTTGATGCCTAAAAGTAAATAATTAACAGTATGAAATGAGATGTATTATAAATACCATAGAACAATACCAAATTTTTTAACTTTAAGCTCAAGTCTTAAGAATTGAACCACATTAGATATAAGGTAAGGCTGTTTTCACTGAGGAGCCCTTTTCGCTGTTCAACTGCAAACTTGATTCTCAGTTGTCGTATTGTTTTTCATTATTCTAGTATATTTTATTTAGACGAGTTATCATCTTGCTTATTTGGAACCTTGACAATCAATTTGAAGATGCAGAGACTTTTTCTTTTTTCTAAACAAAGAGGCCTTCGTTTTATCAATCCAAATGCAATATTTTGCTATCTTTAGTCGATTGGAGTTTCCATCATTAGATAATTCCAATAGTTTAAAACAAGAAGAAAACAGTTGCTTAAATAAATTATAATAGAGCTTAGTCCAATTTTCGTTCAACGACGTGTCCATTACCATAAATTCAGACTATAAACTTCTACTAAATGCTAGTTGGCATTGCTAATATGGTTTCTTACTAAAATCTCGGTAAATGTTGGAAAAAGCTTATCGATGAAAGCACCATTTTGGTAAAACTGAATGCATTTTTTATAGTCCAAAGCGACAATTAAAAAAAGGGTACTAGATTTCAAACCACCTGTAATGGACATCTTATAAAATCACAGAGTAGTATTGAATATTTAGGTATTGACAAATACCAAACATTTCCCGGTGAAATCGGAAGCCTTGAAAAACAGTTTGCGGTAAGAACAAAACCAGACTGTTTGTTTTATCAAAAGTATTGACCCAAAAATTACTATTGAATTACAGGCTTCCTTCTTGGGACAAGAAGACAAGAAATGCGACGAGGTTAAACATCTTTGTGAACGATCAACCCTCTTTTTTGATATTTCTAGTTAAACCATGTTCCCGCTTATGCTTGATATTTTTTTTTACCTTAAAATATCCATATTAGGCTGATGCTTGTAAAGAAACCTATCGAAAATAAGCTGTATGGCTTCCATATGTAATCCTTTAGTATTGCGTTGGGATATTGAAGTTTTAATAATCAAACGACATGTTATGCTTTACTTTTAATTAAGTAAATAAACTCATCATAGAAAACAGGCTTAAAAATGTTTAAGCCAGAAGCTCGTTTCGTCTTAATGACTCATACGTGAAGCTTGAATTAAAAAGTTAAAACTGAACGAATTATTTTTATCACCTGTTTAAAGTGTTGATATGTTTAACTTTAATATATTTTTCCTTTCACCGTTATGCCGCTTTGAAGTATGTATATATCTGTTTTATTATTTTGTATTTTTATTTATTTAGTGGAGTATGTGATATCTTAACAGCAGTTTGGACCTGAACGAGTCCCTAAATGAAGATCTGGAGGAAAATAAAAAAAAAATGCTTTCCTCAATGCTCTTCAACTTCGTACTTTATTTTGGCCTTGTGACTTTTTTAATCGAGCATCACCGATGACGCGCGTCTGTCGTACAAAATTACAAGCCTTGTATCTTTGGTGAGTTTTTTTTTCAATAGTTTCCAAGAATTGGTTTGAAAACTAAATCTATTGAATGACAAAAGATTTGAGGAATGTAAATTGATTGCTTTTTAAAATCTTCATGCTTTGCATTATAAATCCGAGACATTTGTGTTTTATTTGACCTTTTTCATGCTTACAGATAAAATTGGAGAAAAGGCCAACAACTCAAATTGTCAAGTTGTACAATATGTCTTATCAAAATGGAACCACAACAACAATAACCATGACAAAGGATAATTGTTTCCCCCAAACATATTATATTTAGTAAAATGAATTTTCAAAGTTAGAGCTTTTATTATTATTTTTTTAGTAACGAAAATTATATACATTCCAAAATGGAAGCAAGTATTTTCTAAAATATGAGTGTCGGTTGATTACACATAACAGGTTTACAGGTTATTAAATTTTGTAATTTGTGTAATTTTAACTACACAATCTCAATATGTAGGAATAGGCATCGGTAGCTCGGTAGCTGAGTAGTCTCAGTAGTTCATCCACAGTGTCAACTATTCTGTCAAACTTGAGGTTGTAAGTTTGTAATCGATCTCAGACTCCAACCTAGTAAACTAGGACTGCCAGTTTTCCTGCCGAAGGTAGGTAGTTTTGTCTAGGTACTCAGGCTACATCTACCAATAAAAAGTCATAAAGGTTGCTGGAAAGGGCGTTTAACACCATCAATCAATCAAAATGTATGGAGTTTGGATATATCATTTGAATAAGTAGAAGTAATATCAGTCCCCGGAATGCTGCTCTTCCTTTCACCGGAAATGTGAATAAAAATGCCTGCTATACGTCAATGAGACATAAGCTCTATACAAATCTAGAGATCAGCAAACGATGTTCAACGATAGACAATGGTCTATAAAATATGTAGGCTGTAAATCACCCCGAATCTGTACATGTTGTAAATATTTCAACAAAGACTACGTTCATTATATGATTATTACACTTACGACTAGATTGTCATTTAAACTTTTTCTGAATTTCATTGGCAAGAATGTGTAGTCTCCTCTTTGCATCTTTTCGAGATCTTTACGATAACTGATGAAGATTGCAATGACGTAACCGACCATGAATATGCTGGACAGAGAGAATGACACGTAAAAACCAACTGAAAAAGAGGACGGTTTAACATATATTGAGGTTTTAAATTAAGGCCGATAGAAATATTTCTAGTAGTAAACTGTTACGATTTACTGGCAGAAGTTACCAATAACGTTTTTTAAAGGTCGTTGAAATATACATGTTTGGGATATATTTGAAAGAGTACACATAACATTTACATTCTACAAATTAGTATGTAGAAATCATGGTACATATTGTTTCATACTGGAAAAGCTTTTCATTCATACATATCAATTTCGGCGGGAATGAAATAAATCATACTTTTTAAGATCAAAACACATAGGAACATAAACTAAAGAATATTTTATTCATAAATTCAAACCTATCGTTTAACGTGGGAAAAAGAATTATGGCTGTTGGTTCGATATTAATGGACTACTGGGAAGTTTTAAAAAAACAAACGAATTATGTTCGTATTAAGAGAAAACACGAACCTGTGAGTGCTTTAGTGGCAAAACGGAGTCGGTAACCCCAAATGTTATCATCATACTGTGTTCCCAAAATCATGAAATACCTTGACACAAAACAAAAAAAAAATCACTAATAGAACTGAAAAGGCAGTTTGGTCTCTGAGTGATCATCTAATAAAACAACAGGGTCTGTCAAATAAGTTATATATGTGGTATATAAAAATAAGATACCCATTAATAATGTGATCAATAATTGGATTACTTCCTTTAGAGTGTCGGTAAATACAGTTGTATTTGCAAAATATTTCTATATGACTTGCTGTATAATACTTTGAATGGATAAATATAATACCATCTGCAACAGTAAGTAAGGTTTCAAATTTAGGTACTGATGCCTCTTCAGATGTGTTGAATAATTCAGTTTGGATGTATGTCGTAAACAGAAGTCCAGGTTTATAAAAGATATAAAGAGTGAGCAGTTCCATGCCAACCTGAAACAAAAACAGAAATTATATTTCATATATCTATCAAATATATATAACACTTTAACAATAAGTCATGCGTCGTGAATTTGACTTAATTAGACGAAATGAGTACTTGCATCTTATTTATGCAAGTAAACATGAGATTAGGGATACTACCGAAACTAAAATGTCTGTTTCGTATCTTGATATTTCCCTCTATATAAACATTGATTGACGATTTCAAACTTAATTCTGTGTTTAATTTTGCAATTTTTAATTTCCAATTTCTCAGCAATAACATATACCCTCTTCACCATCGTATGGCGTTTACATAACTGAACTAAAACTTCACGTTCGCACATATTAAACTTTACCGAATTCATAAATAGGGTTGTGCTCACTAAAGTAAAAACTGCTTCAACATAGTTATGAGAAAGAACGACTGGAATCGACAATTAATAAGTGGTTCATATGCATCTTAACAAAGTGGTTGACTGATATGATGTGTGCGTGTCTCAAATCACTAGCTATCTTTTCGCGGTCTTAGATCTAGATGCAAGTGTACGCCACTGATCTGTACTTTGACCTATTTTGACATTTTGACTGAGTGAAGTTTCGCATGAGAAGGGATGCATGCATAGCAGGAGAAGCGTACATTTTGACGAACATCGTCTCTCTCCTATTGGAGTTCATTCAATTTATTCATTTTTAGTTTGATCCCTTGATTTTTAACTTCTTCGTCGATATATGAGAATTGAACTACTGTTGCCTAGATTTGACACGAGTAACATCCCATCCAAAGGACCACTTTACACTCATACCAAAATACGCGTATTTATTTTACCTCAACATGGAATGACTTTCGATCATGATGTGCATTAGATTTTATTCATGTAAAACGATTTTGTTAATACAAACCATATACCACAACAAAACACAAAAAAGATAACAGAATTTACAAAAAAAATTAAGCAGTACAAAAGATCACACCAACCACCAACTTCAGACTACTCTGGAAAAATTACATACAAACAAAGACAAACAACAACGAGCAACACATGGTCCAGAAAGACTGACTCGATACAAGCACAATTTGTACTAGGTTAAATAAGTTTTGATTGCGCACAAACCTCAACTGTGCCATTCTAGACCATATGTTGTAAAAGAAAAACACAATAACAAACCCAGCTAACAACATGATGACAACAAGCTTGAATAAGGAAATAAAATACGGCATATAACTTGGAAAGCAGAGTCAAAATAAAGACAGGGAACTAGCTAAGGTAGAAACGGTTGTTTGTTGAATATTGCTACTTTTTGACAGATTCATGAAGTCTTATCCTAAAAAGTAATTCAAATAGGCAGTATTTGTGTGAGGTTAGTAAGTATGTAGAACCGTCAGACCATCAAAACAAAGAACCATTTTAAACGAATAAGTTATAATATCACGCCTGTCGCCCTTGCTGTTGAAAGATGTAAAGGTTTTTGCCAATTTAAATACTAATATAAAGTTTTCCATTATTTAGCTCCATTTACCACAAAACAATAGAAGGTAGGATGCAAAGTATTGTCTAACATGTTTGTTTGTCTGTTTGTTTGCTTGTTTGCTATACTTGCCTAGTTTTTTGTATACAATTCAGCTCCAAAATAATCCCAGAAAAATCAAATGTATTTACCTGAAATAACACAATTCCTGCTACAAAAAAGGTTGCAATTACTCTAGGTGAAGCATGTAGAGGAGACCTCACGCCAATTTTGTTCTTTATATCTTTACTGTAAGCCTGGATTGACCTTAAAAAAACAGCGATCCCAATGACGCAGGACAAGAACATTGATAGTACTGGCTTAAACTTGTTGTTTTTGTACACATCAGAGACAAAGAACAATGTTTATTTTTTCTCTTGGAAGTTTTATAATTTGTAAGCCAGTGTATGGGAAAATCTGTCAAAAAACACCTATAAAACCGATTATTCCTATTAAGGTTTTATTAAAAGAGAGGCGAAAGATATTAAAGGGCCATTCATACTCATAAGTCGAAAATAAACTGACAAACTTATCCATTTGCCTTTTATCCATGCAATTAATCAAATAAGCATACAAAGAAGTATACGATACTACCATATGCTTATATTTTTTTTCTGTCACGGATATAAGCCAGTAAATAAAAATAGACTGAAGTAGTGTGCTTTTCCTATTCTGATTGTTGTTATTTGATGTTTATGTTATTCCATCCATGAATATTAAAAGTGGAGGGTTAAGATTTCAGATGGCTAAATAAAGGACCTTTTGCTTCATCTACATGAACCTCAATCTGATCTCTTCAAGAAATGAACAAAACCAAGCAATATAAAACCAATGATTGCCAAAAAACGTCTGGATGAAATGGAATTTAAATCAAAAAGCGACATTTGTGTATTACTGACAATTTCCAATATCACCTGTTTTACTTGATTCATATTCTGGTTATCTATTTTATTGTAGTTTTGATTTATACAGGCAATGGAGATGCGGTTATTATGGTCATTTCTAAAAGCAACTTCTGCTTTATTTTTTATTTTCGCTTAAAACACTTTTCGGTCTTTAGTGGTAACTACCGTTTATGTGTTTTTTGGTTTCGTTTTGTTTTTTGCCTTATTCGCGGCAGCTATAGATACGCATAAGCTTCCCTGCATATTCAAAGATTTATCGCTATTGCCCACTTGTCAAAACATTGCTGCAAGTAAGTTATTTAGAAGCACACCAGCAATATAACGGTCTTCAAAGAATAAAACCTGATCACGTTCTGTTTGGTATGACACATATGCTCTCTCAGTCTCATTCAATAAATCAAACCACTATCTGTGTGAATTAGACGGGATATTTTAGCCAGTAATTAGTACTATAAGTTCATAATTCCATACATGCATTTAAAATTGTAATTCTTTGACAAGGACGATAAAACCAGACTAATAAAGACATGAAAAGGTCGAATTAAAGTGCATTTCTCTTTTGTATTCGTAGTTTTGTGTACAGTTTATCTAGAATCCTCCCCTATTTCGTCTATATAAAATAATTCAGAAAAACAAGATTATTTTAACTACCTACCGTACTACATACCTACCTACCAAACAACCCTAATTTTGTACTGTTACCCTAAAACAAGCTTAAGTGTGAATTGTCTTAAAAGTCAATCTAGTATATGTTGTACTAAAATATTATCATCAAAAATTCAAATATGACTTCTATCTATTGCAATACTTATCTTATCACATTTTTCATAATAACAAAATGAGATGTGTGGTTCATTTTAATGAAACAGCAACCCGACGACAAAAATAACAATAGTGTATCTAGAGAGAGCACTATAAAGTCTTCGATAAACGGCAGATGTGTATACAATATGCCAAGATTTAAATCGTCCCGTGTCTATTAAAGTCGTGAATATTTCACGAAGGTTTTTAAAAAACAACACACTGTAAATTCATACCTCTTCAATCCTGAGCCTTTTTCTTTTATGTCACATTCTGGTTTTTTCAATAACCACTTCACATAATTATATTGCAGCTTGCTTGTGCAAGGTTTGGAGCCCTGGTTATATTTAAAAGAACCGTTAAAACATAGAAAAGCAAGTTTCACATCCGGGTGCGGGATTTTCTTGCTGCATTGAAGACCCATTAGTGGTCTTCGGCTGTTGTGTGCTCTTTGGTCGGGTTGTTGTCTCTTTGACATATTCCCCATTTTCATTCCCAATTTCATTCAATTTCTGTCAAGGGGAATATAAATTCCAAGAGCTTTAATTGAGTCAAAATAGTAATTAAAAGTGTAACTCCATCGTTGTTAGACATATTATTCAAACAAACAAATGCAATTGCATTCAGAAAATGTTAACTTCTTTAAAATGAATAACAATTAAATGCTCATTTTTGATTTTCAAACTGAATCCATATTAGATCAATATTTCAGATATTTCAATACGAAATTTGTCAGTGTGGATTACGAAACTTGATCGAATAATCGTAAAAGGCAACATTATCAATGGCGGGAAACATTGTGTTGAGGTTTACAGCATCTTTGGATGTTACTTAGTAAGACAAATCAGTATGACATGCATAAATGAGTGGTATTGTTTTATCTTATTGAAGTTAACGAGTCTGCTTCCATCTTACCATTTGCAACAAGGAAAAAGAAATAGTTTACTAAAGAATTCAATTTTTATTATATTGAAACTCAGTAATAAGTTAAATCGTTGATGATCTGGTTTCTGTACATATAAACATAAAAAGCATTTGTAAATCACTTAAACGCAAGTCCATCTTAATTTATGCCAAACTTTGCTAACTGTGTCCACATGTTAATAATCATTCCTTTGACAGTATTTTGGGGTTTCCTGCTACCTAGCGACGACACTCTCTACTAGACTAAACTCAGGGTCACTTGACTAATGATGCATGTACAGGAGGAAATGCGTACCTTGTCAATGAACATTAAAGTTATGAGGTTTAGACTGCCTCAATCCTAGGGGTGTCTGTTTAAACCAATATTTGACTGATAGGGACGGGGGAGAAATGCCATGAGAGCGACCGTTTCCTGGACACCGATCTTGAAAGAGACAGTAGATAACATATTCATTGTGAACAGAGAGAAGATGGACTAGTGATCCTTTGAACTTATCAGTATTGTTCCAGATACGATATAAATTAACTTTTACAGATATGTCTGTGCCCATACAGCAGCGCTACCCAGGAGTGGATGTCTTAGCGACACAGTACGGCATTCCAGAACAAAGATTTATTGTTATATTCAGGAATGTACAGTGATCTTATTTTGGCAAATAAAAGGAGATCTTCATCACGTATACAGACGGATAAATCAAAATATTAAAATAATCATGAAAGAACAAGCGTACTTTGACCTATAATGGTTTACTTTTATAAATTTTGACTTGGATGGAGAGTTGTCTCATTGGCACTCATACCACATATTCTTATATCTATAAAGACTAATGTTTAAAACTTTTAAATTTTAATCAGAAATTTTCAAAATATTAACCATATTGTATTCAGTAGTTTGATGGTATTCATGGATATGGCACAAGGTCTGATATCATGTTTAGCAAATTATAAATTATAGATTTAATAAAGTTTGACCCTTTGGTCCATTTTTGGAAAGAAAAAAATATATCAATCAAAAAAGTTAATGGTGGTAATCATAGTTCATATGGACGATTCTATCATGGATATTTTAATGTTGTATTTAGAAAATAGAAAGTGTGACCTTGGTACAAAATACGTGTTAGCTATTATTTTAGAAGTACACATGATATATATTGTGTGCAATAATTGGTTTAATAATTTAGATATCTAAACATCTGCTTTCTTATAAATACACGGCCGTCAATTGGTATATCGAAACAATTGATCGTGAATCATGAGTGATTTAGTATTAGATCATTGGAGAAATCTGATCAAGACGAATTATGCAAGGCAAGTATTTATTTCATTGAAATATAAGCATAATAAGTATCTGAGAGAAATGAATATTCACAATCCTAGTAGTTTTGTTTACCCTTTTAAATCTATATTTACTTAATTTTACTTAATTTTTACTTCATCGAGAAAGTGTTTACTATATACGATAAGTGCTTTCAAAGACAAAACCTTTTTTTGTTGACGTCATTGTCAAATTCACACTTTTTTGTTGGCGTCTTTTTTAGATTAATTTGTACTTTGTACTGTCATATTAACCTATTATGTCTTGTTTGGTTGATTGATTGATTGTTAGTTGCTTAACGTCCAGTGGCAAATATTTCATGCATATTCAGGACGAGAACAAATTAACAATAAATAGTAGGTAGGTTTGTAATAGAGGTGTCCAGGATTAAGGTCGGAGAAATTTAGACTGCCACCGGAATGAGGGTATATTGGATAAGGACTGAAATTTAGTCTTGCAACAGGTCACCTACGGACCCCTCAAATAGTTGTTACAAGGGTTTTAAACGTGCAAAGAGCGTGGCACTCTCTTTACACGAGGCATCGGATTTAACGTCCCCATTCTGACCGGACGTGGCTGCAAATTTGTACATCCCGCACAGCCAAACGGACGCCCCACTTTGGCGAGGGTTTTACTGCCGGTCTTAGGAAGACCAATGGTGACCAAACTTCTATTCCCCAGTCACCCTTGGGGGATGTCTGTTTGGGATGCTCACCCAATTTTGTCATAATAATGGAACTATAAACATCTGTCATACAAGTGGGAGGTTTAGCTAAGTATAAAACTAGGTTTAACCCACCATTTTCTTTCTTTTTCTACTCCTGTACCTCTGTATGCATTTGTTAAGATCGAGGGAAAACCCCTGGGGAATCGTATGAATTCCAAACGAAGTGAGACCGCGTGCGTTGATAGGATACGCGTCTACTGCTATGCATGAATCCACCGTCATACGAATACCTAGTCAGTCAAATTGTCATCAAAATGTAATAGAAAACAATCGGTTAATTTACATATACAATCACTTTTCTTGTATTGAAAGATCTTAGACTGCGGATCATTGCTCTTGTGAATTAACAAACAGACGAATCGTATCGGTCAAGCAAATAAAAATGAAGAAGCAGGGCGGGTGTTGCTCTGAGAAATGGAACATAACCTTTGGTCAATAGAGACACAGATAATCCGTTCTGTTCAACCTAGTTATAATTGCGTAGGTAAAACACTTTAATTTTACAAAGCAAAATCCTTTGTTCCAAAATTTCCTTGTATCTATTACCCTCTATCCATCAATCCGAAAATCTATTTCAAATGCTTGTGCTGCTATTAAATTGCTGCATAGTATCTATGGAAATAACTTATCTACATACTGTTACAATGCATGGTTTAGTTTTGTTTATTTGCATAAATGATTCATTACCTCATAATCTGTATCCTGTTTAAGACGTCTAACAAAACTATAGGTTTGACGAACTGATTTGTATAGAAAATAGCCAATCAATATCACATGACATAATGATGTGGGTATATAAATTAAAATGTAAGCCTTTATTCTTCTAACCTAAAAAATAAAATAAGCCATAAGCACTGTGATATATTGAGTGAAACAATCATAGTTTAACAATCATTGAAAGATAATACAATTTTAATTTTCAAGTTAAAACTGATTCCATGAGGGCGTAGTTATAAGCAACATGCTACACTAAACCTGCTTGTCTTTGTTAGGCAGTGAAAATAATTTTATTTGAATAATCTTTCAACTATAGAGTAAATAGAATTTAATGTCTTAGTTAAACAATAGACACTCTTCCGTGAATAGTGAATTCATGAAAAAATAAGCCAAAATACCTTACAGAAGTGAAGTATGGGGTTTGAATTGGTTTATAATTTGACTGTTTTTCTGATAATTCAGAAATTATACGAACAAACAACACAGCAAGAAAAAGTTAAAAGTAAAGAAACATTCATTCATCAATATAACTCGATGTTTTGTTTTGTAGCCTGCTATTTTTCCTTTCGTCCTTTTTCTTTTCTAGCATTTTATTGTCTTTTTCATTAGACTTATCATATGGTTTTTGATTGCCCCTTTTGTATATTATCCTTTTTTGAGACTTTTTCTGCAAAGGAGAAGGTGTGATAAGGTCACTTTTCATTAAGCCCTTGAATTTAAAAATAAAATAAAATAAAATAAAAGTAATAAATCTGCTAAATAACACCCTTCAGGTGTTCATAAATTAAGTTGACAGTAGTTTACCGATGTCCAAATCTCGTAAATCGATAAGGAAGAGACAAATTAAAGTAAACAGAAAATGAGGGAATCGCATGACTTTTAAAAAGAACAAGACGGGTTAGTCAACAGGATAAGCGTCTCCTGCTATGCATCTATCACCCGCCATGTGAGTTCTCACTCAATAAAAAATGTCACCATTTGGGAAGGTTTACTCCTGGTTTGCCCACATTTAATTATACCAATTATCCATTGGTAAAGAAAACAAAAAAGACAAAAGGTTTAATGAGCAAACAATTGTATAGTCTGTTCCAACTTGATTTGTATATAGTTTATCTATGTTTTCTGGTATATTCAGGTATTTTTCGTTTTGTAGTTCCACTTTTATTTGTATACACAACCCAATATTTTTTTTCACAATAATTTAATATTAATTCAGTCGATTCATTTAACAGACAACTAACATGACTAATGATAATAATACTAATTTATACATGCATTGCATAAGAAAATAAGATAAAAGCATTATGATAACAATAAGTAATATGGGTCACTATATGTATAGTGATGAAGAATACAACATTTAATTTATATTTCGAAATTAACAAAACATTTATATTTTAACAAAGTCACATAACATTTTATTTACAAAGTTACTAAGTCACAAATTACAATATTTCACGAAGTCATTCAATTCAAATGAAGAAGATGCTATCACGTTGATGAGTCCGTGTTATTATATGTCTTTCAGTAGTTGGAGGCTGATTTCTATAACTTTGTACCGTCGTCTTTTTGGTGGGCAGGCTCCCCATGTTGCATACTGGATAATGCTACATTCTGTTAGTGCCTGAGTCCTCTTGAGTAACTCGATGATCTCCTAGATGTTGGGGCGGGCATGGTGGAGTTTCTTCTTAATTTTGTTGTACCAACCATCCATGGGGTTGGTGATGCGGGTCCTTCGATTAAGTAGTGGTTCCATAAAAGGCGGTATCCTTCAAACCAAGACTCTGTCATATAATCAGTAAATGATGTTGTAGCGGGTATGTTGTCAGTTTCACCAATATCTTCTAAAGTTGTAAGCCAAACATCCTCAACAAGTAGGGTGGAACGAGAGATAATACTGCGGCTTGTTGTATAAGTCGAGTGATGTCTTCATTTTCTTTATAGTATGACTGTAGTCCACATTTCTGTGCCTTTCACCAAATACACTGGGTAAAGTGGAAGAAGCAGCCTTGCACGGTAACCCCTGGGAACACTGTACCTGTTGCGTTGTTGGTTTCTGTCTCGTAATCGATAAATACTGTTTCTGGTTGAAGTTGTAACTGTTGAAGTTGTAACTGATGAAGTTGAGCGATGTAGTGTATGTGGCTGAAGAAGCGTGAGTAGATGATCTCGTCTTTTCTTGGCAGTTTAACATACACTAGTGGGAACATAGAACTTATTATAAATTGAAAAAAGAAAGTGTTAGCGTGGATGCAGATTACTGATAAAATTATGTCATTTGTAAAGATTGGCTAGTGAACAGTTGCATTTATATTTTATTTTTTAGAATTAATTGGGTTTTTTTTTATTTTACATTTCAGAACAAAGTATTTATTCAAATTAAAAAAATAAATAAGGTGAAAAAATAAAAAGAAATTCGAAATGTTTTATTATTTTCTTGTTTACATTTTTTTCCCAGAATGTCAATAATTTGTCAAAATGATAAACATTTTTGAATATTTTTTTCAAATATTTGTCAAATTCAATACATTTTCCGGGTAAATTTAATAAATATATTTGTACATTTTCTTTGATTTAATAGTAGAATTAAGTATCTTTCATAAAATGTACAGGTAAAATAAAGGTAAAAAATATGTTTATAATTCAAAAATAAACTATAAGTATATGGTGTAATGTAAATGACTTAGTTGTAAATATGGACAAGTCAAAAATTGTTCATTTCAGAACACAATCTGTGACACAAACAAATTTTGAATTTATGTTGAACGGAAACCAGTTAGATATTGTATCAAAATATATGTATCTTGGTTTATTATTAAATGAGTTTTTAGATTATAACGAGATGGCGAAAATTGTAGCAAAATCAGCCAGCAGATCATTAGGTTTACTAATTGCTAAATGCAAAGCAAATGGTGGTTTTGAATATTCTACTTTTACTAAGCTTTTCGACACTCTTGTTATGTCTGTTATTGAATATGGTGCTGCAATATGGGGAAGTAAAGAATACTCTTGTATAAATGCTGTAAAAAATAGGGCAATGCGTTTTTTTATGGGTGTTGGAAAGTACACACCTAATTTAGCCCTATATGGTGATAAGGGTTGGATGCCATGTATTGTAAAACAATGGACATGTATTTTTAGAACTTATAGTAGATTTACAAAAATGTGTAATAATAGAATAAACAAAAAAGTTTTTATATGGGCAAATAATATATGCAATAATAGACTGAAAAATTGGAATTTCAGAGTACACACAAAGTTTAAAGAAGTTGATATGGAACATTTTTGTAATACTAATTTAATTATTGATAAACATGTTATAAAAAATATTGAGAATATCTGTTTTAATAGATTTAAAGAGCAATGGTATATTGATTTAATGTCAAACGAGCGTAGTAAACTACGTACTTACAGACTGTTCAAAAATGAATTTGGTGAAGAAAACTATTTATTAAAAAACATACCTGGTAAATATAGGAGTGCCTATGCCAAATTAAAAGTGGTACTGCTCCTTTGAAAATTGAGACTGGAAGGTATGAAGGTCTTTTAGTTGAAAATAGAATTTGTTATAACAGCATTTGTAATGAAAATCTTTTAATTGAAGATGAAAAACATGTATTAATGAATTGTCCTGTGTATGAAGATTTGCGTTGTTATTTGTTTTATCAAGCATCCCTATTTAATGTTAATTTTATGCAATTGTCTGATGACGATAAATTTATATTTTTATTCACAGATGAAAATATGTACTTTTATACTGCCAAAATCTGCAATGACATTTTATTGAAAAGAAAATGTATTTTATATAGCTAATTTTAGTGTAAATAATGTATATACATTTTAGATAGTCTCTCATAACTCTTTTTAGAGTGGCTCTTGTATGTTTTATGATGTTGTTTTATTAACTATTTGTATGTTTTATATAATGAAGAGGTGAGACTTAAATAAAGTATTGTCTTGTCTTGTCTTGTCTTGTCTTGTTAAAACAACAAAATACCCTATGCTTTTATAAACCTGCAACTAAATGTGGGCCAAGCAGGATGACACCATTGGGAATAGGACACAATTGGTACAATTAAAGACGAGACTAAGCTGGTTTCTAAAGATCTATAAAAAATATATCAGTATTCATAGTGTAAATTTTGTCTCTCATATTTGGGTTAAGGCCGCTTCAAACTTCTTGAATTTAGAGCAAAATTGTCCAAATAACCTCATTTTGAGATCTTGTCATAAATATTTAAATATTTGAATATGAGCAAAAGCTTTTCTCAAAAAAATATTTTGCTACAAAATCTGTTTTGTCAAATATATCTGTTTTGGTTAAGCCTTTGTTCAAATCAAGTTTGTCCAAAAATATGTGTAAAATTGCCTTATTTCATCAAATGTTAATTGCAATAGGATGCTGACGTCAAAGTGACTTCACATAATATTTACATGTTCCTTTATTGATAAAATCTACTTGATTTTGAAAATCTTGAATAATTGTAATACCTTTGAAATTTCAGGGGTCAAATGATAGCTGTTTTCATACATCTTTCATTGTATCATACAATACAATAGTTTTCTACCTTTTCTAGATCACGTAGCTTGCCTATGTTATAAAAACACCAGATTACCGCTTCCCTCTTTGTGCGTATCAAACGATACCAAGTAGGACTTTTGGTTTTGATAACAAGTGTGAAATCAAACTTACGTATACTTACTTAACAGCATATCAAATGTTAAGTTATCCTTTACTGCTGCCGAGAAAATGGGCGATAAGTTCATTGTAAATAATATTATTATATCAAGTGAAATTTGTAAAATGATGCTGTTAAATTGTCTCATGTCCTTTATTAGAATAAAAGTTGATATGCCTCACGATTTTGTTATTACTTCATCTATCTTAAAGTCTAAAGGTAATTTAAAATTTTAGGGAAAATATTTGAATCAACCGCAAAATTCTTAATTCTTGAATTAGACGCCTGCGCAGAAAATATTTGACCGGTCGCAAGCTCCAATCATTTTTATATGGAAGGGATAAACGAGAACTTACATATTTTGGAAATTAAACGAGTCTAGATACAAGAAAATTTGTTTTATCACTCTTAAGAGTTGAAAAAATATGTCTCAACCTTTACCATTCTATAATGCATTATAGAAAAAATCTGAATGTGCAAAAAAAAAATCAGTATCTTGGAGTGTGCATGAAAAATTCACAGTAATTAACATCTCCAAGCTGCACTATCTTTTCAAAAACGAAAACTTTGGTGCTTTAATACAAGAAAATAAACCTAAATATTGAGAAATCAACAAAATTTAGACATAAAGATTCAACATAAGTAGCAAAGAACAATCCAAAATAGTTCGTAATTTATATTGTAATTAATATTAAAAAAATCGTATCTATTTACTAATAAAAAGAAGAAAATAAAAGAAAAGACTTCAGAAAGACAAAAATATATGTAGAATTTTAAGGCCGAGTCAAACTTGAAAAAAAAGGTTTCATCTGGATAAGAACTGTTTGATTCGAGGACTTTTGCACGAAAGAAATAATATCAAACAGAGCCAAACACAACGGTCAATTTGTTATGAAATATTCAAAGACAATTCATTTCCATATCTGTCCCCTCCTTTTTTCTTATATTATTCTGATGAATTTGATAATCCAAAGTATTAAATGATAACCCCAAAACACATGTACGGCTTAGAGTCGTACATGTACCACCGTACCTGATCTGTACCAAATCGGGAAATCTCTATTAAGAGGTATACTTACTTCCAAAGAATTGGTCAGCTGGTAAATTAAGATTGAAAATCTACAAAAAATATAATAAGCTTGATGTTGTTTCAATAAAATGCAATTGTAATGTTTGAAATTGCTTTTATTTCCTGCTCATAACAATTTATATGCATAATTTCTATATCAAAGTTGTCTTTAAGAAATAAAATCGAGACAATTCTATGAAAGTTATATTAACAATTAAAATTCAGAGTGATCCTTTACCCTTAATCTCAATATTTCCATATAAAAAAGATGTATAGACAAACTAATAATAAACAGATATCAGATCAACACTGAAAACTAGTTAGAACAAAGAATATCTTCAATTTTGTTTACCAAAAATGAAATAAGATGCTCTAGATCATTGAGTATAAACTAGTAAAGAGCTGACACCCGTAGCCAAAATATGTTTCCCTTATGTGATGTGATGATCACATTTTAGGCAGGGAATATACCGCTGACCATATAGTTTCTATGGCAGTGATTGTGTACTTTCACGAAAATTCTTATACAACAGACAATTTAAAAAATAGAGAACATCTAAAACACCATACAGAAACGGAGTAGAACTAAGAAATGTACATTATTCCTTTCAGTATATTTACTACTTCTACAAAAACAAAGTTTCAATGTTGAAAACTGACCGAGCTGAAACTTTGATAATTTGACTTTTTATTACAAACAAAAGGAGATCCCAAATAACGACTGAGGGGTAGTCTTGCTCTCATAGTAGCTGCAATGGCTATTAGAATGTTAATGAAATGCCTGTTATGACTCACCAATATACGAATTACCAAATTTAAAATGTCAGAGATGCACGTTATACGTGGATTTTCTAGTTACATTGCAAAATATTGTACAAATCATTATAGTGGAATACTTGCAGCATTTGTCTGAAAGCCAGACATCGCTTGTTCCACAACCTAAGCATGAACCAAAGACCCGAAGATGACCGTTTTTTAGAAGATAAATAAAGATTGGGCTTCAGGGGTCTACGCAAGGCCTTATATTTGGCTCCAGAATGCATATGATGTGACACTTTAGGTATTGGCTTTGTCTGCATGGTTAACGAAATTATAACATTTTCTACGAATTGAAAATTCTACTAAGATAAGGTGTCTTCTGTTATGTAAAGTTCAAAATGATATTAAAGCCAAGCAGATATGTTAACTGCCTGTTAGTCATAGTGCATCATCTGTTACGGATTTATCGTGTGGCACATACGAAATCAGTATTACAGTATCCTTTAATGTTTATTGAACTGTAAAATTCCAAATATGAAGCAGTATCTATATTTTTGATATATTGTTCTATTGAGATGATGTATTTCTCGATTGATTGATTGTTTAGAAAATGTCCAGTGCCAAACATTAAATGACACATATCAGCACCTCTCGATGACATTCATCTAAATTCTGATCATCGTCTTATGTTCTTTCAATAACATAATAGAATGATAGAAATGCATTGTGAGTCGACATTCATTAGGATAAAATGTTTGTACTATTTAGTTCATAGTTGAAGATTTCGAGTAGCACTGTGCTATTTTGTTTATACATTTGTTTAATCTCTTGCATTTAGTTCCCTTATTTTTATCATGTTGACTTCCGCTCATTTTATTTTTTATTTGTGATTCCTAAGTATCTCTCTTCATAGTTTTTGAAATAAAGAGGTTTTCAAAAGAAAAATGTCGAAACAAATATAAGAATACGAAGATGTAGTATGATTGCCAATGAGACACATACCCATCATAAACCAAACAACGCAGATTTAAGCAAAACATAAGACATTGACTGAACAGTGAATGAGTGTTTTAACATTCAAAAAAAATTGTAAGTAGCTTTGTAAGTTTGAACAGTAACCCTAATTGCCATTGAGATGCATTTAAAGGACAAACTACTGTCTACAAGAATAGAACATTTGCTCAATTATCTTGGTCTCAGAATATTCTCTCTTATAACACATCATATTAAAAATGAAATGAAGTATAAAAAAGACTTACATGAATGTGGTGTAGAACAGGCCAATCAATGGTTCAATGATAATTCTTCTGCATCTTATAACAGCAAATACAGGATAAAATTTCAGAGAAACAAACAGTGCCATGATCAGCAAAATAAAAACTGAAAAAGAAAACTATAATGATAAACAAGTGATAATGAGGTAGGATGCTTTAGTGAATAACACAATATTTAATTTGCGCCTTCTGAACAGAACTAAAATGAATTGAAATAAAAGAACATGGGGGATGTCCCTACCTGTCTCAGAGGGGACTACACAAGCATACTGCTTGAAAAAAGAAACATCATGATATTAGCACTTCGTTGAACCCAAACAATGCCGTTAGATCTATTTTAAGGCCTCATTAAACACGGTGACAGGGGTTCCAAATATCCGGAGGTCTGTGTAAAATCTGCAGGGCCGGTATGCAGAAAACATCTTAACTTAAGTGTTCCTTAAACTTAGATGTCACTAAGAATTTCCTTAGTTAAGTATAATTCTTAAGTCGTATGCATAAACTTACTTAAGTCTTCACTTAACTAAGGAATACTTAAATCGGAACCTTTCTTTAATTACCATATGATGTGTATCAGCTCATCGCATGTACTCATCCATGTAAAAGTTTGTTATGATTATTTACATTGTTTGATCAATACATACTTAATTAGTAGATGGGGTTAAATTTATGTTGGTATGTAAAACAATTCAATAATACGTAACAAAACATTTGATAAATTGGCGCATAAGAGAAAAGGTTGACGTGTCGATGGATGGGCATGGGAAGAAAAACATATTTGAAATCCAAAACTTCCCCCTACTTACTAGTAATATTCAATTCATCTTTCATGGGTGTTGGTGGATGGAGGTGCCTGTTAATTTTCTGGAGACAACAATATATTTTTAACTGTAACAAAACATGATAAAGGTTTCAATGGCGTAGCACCAGTGTAGTAATGTAAGCATGTGCTTACAAATAATTTTATAAAACATTTTTTTTCAAGAAGAATTTTATTATATTCGTTCAGCTTCTGGTGAGCTGCCGCCCCCTTCCAGACCCCCTGCTTATAATTTCTTTTGAGGTTTTAAAAAATCTACTTCGAATTGAAATAAACTATTTTATCACTTCCCTTTTACAACAATAAAAAAGGGGTAGAATCAATTTTCCACGAATCCATATAAAAACGGGGCCATTTTTCAAAAATCCTGCAAGCTTTACTAAAACACACATTATTAGATTCATATGTTTATGGTAAGGTATTATCAACATCTTAGCGTACTAACAATATTTTCGTTTACAGCAATATATCACTTAATATAATAAGGAAATATGAAAACTAATTTAATACGGTTTAGGTATCATAAATACGTTATATACACTTTGACTTCCATGGGGTAGGTCTTAAAACTTTCCGATTTTGTCCCAGTAAGTGAAACAATTTGCCTTACATCTTTAGAATAAAACAAAATAATTGAAAATATTCAACCGATGACCCCCGCCCCTCCCCCCCCCCCCCCCCCCCACACACACACGCAGAAAACCGGATTTTGCATGCCTGAAGATCCTCATCTCTTCCTTCCTTCATACTTTTTTTTTACTGATAGTTACAAATGATACCACGCGGTGTATTTTAATAATTTAACGTTCAAAGTGTAAATATGCACATATAGAGTAAACAAAAGAAAAATAAAAGCACGAATTCCATGCGTGTAAAAAGTGAATACTTTTCGGTATACACAACAACGAGATTGAGAAATATGTGTAGAATGAATATATAAAACTACCTTCTGTTATCTCTTGGTGTGTTGATTATACTTGATTTTAAGAAAATTACATTGATCGTTATATTAAGAAATAAACAAACGAAAACTATTAATTATTAAACGGTAGCTAATCTATTAATATTCTGCAAAAAACCCATACTTTCGACTGATTTTTAACTATTTTTGAAAATTTAAGGTATTTTAAACATAAGTATAATCTTAGGCGTTTTCTTAGTATAAGGGGTTTTATGCATACCACTTAAGTTTTGTGGGCGTGACTTAAAACAACTAAGATTTGACAAAGAAAATACTTAGTTTAAGATATTTTATGCATACCACTTACGTAAAAAGGGCGGGGTTTCCTTAACTTAAGTGCTTACTAAGGAAAATCTTAACTTAAGTAGCTTTATGCATACGGGCCCAGATGAATAATGTTGAAAAAGAACATTTTTGACAAATGTAAAATGTATGATTAAGTACATACATTTGGTGTTATTAATCAATCAATATTAAATATTTAAGATTGCATTATTACTAAAAAGTCAAATAACAAAAATAATGAACTCCAAGGGAATTTCAAAACGGAAAGTCCTTTAAAAAATGGCAAAATCAAATACACATCTAACGAATGGAAAACAACTGTGATATTCCTGTCTTGGTACAGGCATTTCCTTATGTAGAAAATGGTGGATTAAACCTGGTTTTATAGCTAGCTAAACCTCTCACTTGTATGACAGTCACATAGAATTGCATTATATTGACAACAATGTGTGAGCAAAACAAACAGACATAATAGGTAAAAACGTCAAAAATCGGGGTACAGCAGTCAATATTGTAATATAATCTTAATCACTATAAAAATAAATAACAGTTTCAACAAAGAAACACAAAATGGCATATAGACAAAGTACATAAGCTAAAATGAAAGACAAGAACTCAAAATTGACCATAGCACAATAAAACAATGGCGGGTCCGATCCACGTCATAGGTATATAATAAAACAGTAAAGGTTAAAAATATACAAGGACAAAAAAGGGGGCTTTAACACGTAATTTAGATGATAAACAACGTCAGTACCTAGAATCTATACTTCAAGACCCTCATGTATTATTTGTGAAGTTGCTACGGAATATTTATCAACAAGGTCTTGATATCTTCCAATGATCTTTTTTAGAAACAGGACGAGACCTTTCTTTGACATAACCTTCGCTCATCACCTTTCTGCTCAAACACTGGTGACGTTTTATAAAGTCTGAGTAGCAGCTGCAAGCTCTTGAATACCGAATGAGTTGGGAAATGTATATCCCATATGCAGGTGAAGTTGGTATATTGCTGCTAAGGTGGGGGAAATTTATAATTTCAAAATTAAAATCGTCTCGCTTGTCATAGACTAAGCACTTTCAATAGGATATTCAATGACAAACCCCACCCTTCTCTGGACTTTAAAAGTACCACTTTAAAGACCCCATTGAATAAACGAACTACGTTGTGCACGACTAGTCATTTTATTCCGTAGAACCTTGAGTACATGGTTTCTCGTTAATACGATAACTTCAGGTGCGAGAGAGAAGAAGAGGAATTGAGCAGAATATTTTACCAAATTTCTTTTAAGATATTTAATTATGCCTGCATAATCTTTTAAGTTGAAATTACGCTAAAAACAACAGGAAAACCCACAGAAGTACACAAATTAATGAAAATTATGCATAATTAGAATTTACTAATCGAAATAATTGGAGCAATTAAAACAGCAGTTAATTGATCAACTAAATGTATCTTCAATTCAATGATTTATAAAATTGACTCCTTTTTTTCAATTTTCTTAGACCACTCGGTCACCGAAGCCTCTCTTATATAAAATGAGATATGGCATAAGCTTGTTTGAGACATAATGTATTATATAGATATATTATTATACAGATATATTATTATGCAGATATATTATTATACAGATATATTATTTCGATTCTTACATAACAAACTGTTGTGTTTTCTTTTTAAAAGTGTGTATTCAATATTGGTATTGAATGATGATCCTCATTGATACCCCGTATTTTTGATAAAATAAGATTAACATTTTGACAAAATCTACAAAAAGTTGATTGCAAACACCGTTTTTCTCAGTAATGGTTTGAATGAACTATTAAATTTTACAAAAAACATAGTATTTGAAGGAAAATAATTAGGATGATGTCTATATTTAGATTGTATGTTACTACAAATTTCATGATTCAGTAAAATGCCTTCATAAATTTCGAATTAATGTCTGATTTTTAACATATTTTTCTATTATAGTGACATTCATAATTCTTTTTAAATTTTGCCCCATATAAATTTCACTTTAGAAAAAACATTGAATTGTATTAATATAAGCATCGATGCTTTAAACGTTTCTTTGATAAATCCAGATTAATGGATCCATACTATAAGACATTTTCGATAACTTTCTAAATTAGAGTTGACAACGATACCGACATGTATAAAATGCAAGTAGTCGTTTAAAAAAATCATAAAGATTGTATATAAATAGCAGTGTATCAGTTTGAAAAATATTTGCCTGCATGTCTGTTTTTAATGAAAAATCATTTCATTTTCGAATTGAGTATGAAGAAAAGGAAGGCACTCCATATCTTATTTCATTATCTTAGATTACGAGCCTCTAGCTTCCTTGACAAATTTGAAAAATCCGTTTTTTAGTAGTAATAGTTTACTCAAGATTTTGTTTACGTCTATTTATTTTCAACGACAGTACATTTTTGTCACTTTCCCTTCAAATTTTTCCGACCTACGGTTGATATGAGGTGTCGTAAATGGCGTGGGTTTATGTTATCTCCCAGAAGAACACAATCTTCTTAGAAATATAGCGGACCATAGCTGCCAATTTGCTGCATCAATGTGAATTGTTGATCATTTGAGAGCTAAGTACCATGTTGCGTTGTAAAAAGCCAAAGTTATATACTTGTTAATGCTTAGATAACAGTTCTAATTTGTATGTATGACTTTCACTAGCTATATTGGACTTTTGATTCACACATTCAAAGTTTTGCGAAATAAGTTTGCAGTGTGTCATTACTGTATTTTTTAGCTTCTGTATAGACGGGCTGAACTTTGTTAACATTACTAGTGACTGTTCCCGTTTTCTTGCGAGATGTCTTTGCAAATATTTCCTTTCTGAGCTTTAAGTTTAAACAAAATTTAATTTACTTCAGATGCTATATATCCCCTTAGGAGACCTATTTTTAAATCTGATATTTTAGTTCAATTTGGCTGCAAGTGTTTCTGATGTATCTCAATAGTTTCCTGTTAATGAATCCTTTAAAACACATCTGCGGTGTCAGCTATAAAAAAGAAGATGTGGTATGATTGCCAATGAGACAACTCTTCACAAGAGACCAAATGACACATAAATTAACAACTATAGGTCACCGTACGGCCTTCAACAATGAGCAAAGCCCATACCGCATAGTCAGATATAAAAGGCTCCGAAATGTCAAATGTAAAACAATTCAAACGAGAAAACTAACAGCTTAATTAATGTACAAAACAATGAACGAAAAACAAATATGTAACACAGCAACAAACGACAACTCCTGAATTACAGGCTCCTGACTTGGGACAGGCACATACATACAGAATGTGCCGGGTTAAACATGTTAGCGGGACCCCAACCCTCTCCTAACTTGGGACAGTGGTGTAACAGTACAACATAAGAACGAACTATAAAAATCAGTTGAAAAAGGCTTAACTCATCAGATGGATACAAATAGAAATACATCTAACAAAAACACAGAGTGGACGTGGCAGGGTACTTGTACATCCCAACAACAAAAAGACACTAAGTACAGATCTGAGAGTACTCACAGTTACTGACAGCCAGTTCAAAGCCAATAACAACTAATAAAACAAATCATGCATCTAAGACTAAATTATCAATCAGTTCACATCCGACATCCAATGGATTTAGTGTATAGACGTCATTAACAGTCAGAGAAAAACATGACCTTGTGCAATGCCAAGATACAGGTATCGACAGATTGTATATCCATGAAAGTGCATATGTATATAACAATAATATTTACTTTGCTATTAATTTACTGATAACAAAATCAATATTAATACCAATAAAAACAATATTCAAAGATATAATTACAGTGTTGAATTGGATACCTTTTAGAATCAGTTTATTTAAAGGATCGATAAGTTTACAAGGATCGTTTCTAAATTTCCGGGCACGGTAAACAACATCTCCGTAAAAATGAGGATGTGCTATCCCGTTTGAAATAAGTTTTCTACAGGTACAGCCAAACTTCAAAATCAAATCTTTATATCTATGGAAGAATTTAGTAAAGGATTTAAGTAATTTGTGGTAACGAAATCCCTGACTTAATAATTTACCAGTAATACATAGATTACGTTCATTAAAATCTAAAACGTCACAACAGACACGGGCATAGCGAACGAGTTGTTAAATATAAACACCGTAAGATGGTGCCAAAGGAACATCACCATCCAAAAAAGGAAAATTAACAATAGGGAACGAAAAATCGTTCCTTTTGTCGTAAATTTTAGTGTAGAGTTTCCCGTGTAAAACTGAAATATCTAAATCTAGGAAAGGACAGTTATTACCGTTTACATTTGATTTATTTAAAGTAAGTTCCTTTGGGTAAATTTCGGCAGTATATTTTGAAAATTCTTGATTATTTAACAAAAAAATATCGTCAAGATAACGGTAAGTGTTGTTGAATTTATCAATTAAATGCAATTTAGACGGGTCTTTACTGAGTTTGGTCATAAACTGTGAATCATAACAGTACAAAAACAAGTCTGCTATTAAAGGGGCGCAATTAGTGCCCATAGGAATACCTACAACCTGTCGTTAAACTTTGTTGCCGAAATTTACATGAATATTATCAAGGAGAATACTAACAGCTTCAATTATCTCATCACACCTCCAGTAAGTATATCTAGTATATTTACCTTTCTCATTAGGGAAGTAGGCATTAAATGAGTTGCAGCAAATATATTTGCATTCAGATTTACCAAACGACCATTTAATTAAATAGGAAAACTTTGGTTTGATAAGATTGTGTGGAAGTGTAGTGTAAAGAGTTGAAAAGTCAAAACTGTCAACAGAATCAAAAGGACCATCAAAAGAACGCAATTTATCTAAAACATCCAAAGAATTTTTTACACTCCAAAAATAGTTAATTCCACTATTTTCATATATTTTATTACAAAAGTTTATGATAAGTTCTTTGATAGTAGTTAAAAGCACTGAAAGATTAGTTGTAGAACACTTACTAGAGGCCGAGATGAAACGATATTTTACTGGTTTTTTTGTGTAGTTTAGGTAACCAATACATAGTAGGGACTTTCAAATGTTCAGAAGAACACTTAAGCTGTGATGTGGTTATGATATGTTTGTTTACTATATGACTCTCTGTGGAGCGCACGGACTTGAATTTAGATGAATTTAAAATTTCATTCTTAAGAACGTCCGTGTAGTATTTACGGCATACCACCACCACATTGTTGGCTGCTTTATTGGCTGGTACAAACACAAACCGCTTTGAAAGTTCTTGAAGTTTATTTCTTAATCTGGAAATAGGCGTATTATGTACTCTTTTATCTATTTCTGAATTATTTTCAAAATGTGATATTCGAATATCCGCAACATTCATACATTTATTTAGATAAGAAGTTCGCTTATGTCTGTTCAAATTTTGAAAGATTTAAGTTGATTTGATATGTGTATTAATATCTAATATGTATTTGTATAAGAGCAATGCTCATTTGTTTATGACAGTTTCAAGCTTAAAAAATGTTGTTTCATTACGTGAAATTTCGTAGGTAAACTTCAAGCGTGTGGGCAAGGTGAACAGCTCGTGCATTACTTTTACAGACCCGGAATATATAATCCAGTCGTCATCCCTAAATCTGGAAAAGTAGTCTCATTTTGTTTCTATGTTGTAAAATAGGCATAATGAGGTCTGCTAACTCTGCAGGTCCTGGTTTTCCCATAAGTATGCTAAAATTTTCATGGTACAATTAATTGTTAAAAGTAAATTCATTGATCCCTAAATAAGCTGCCATAGGCGCTTTGCACTGCCTTTTGGTGGAACCTCAATTTCCTATTCGTTTAGATAAATATTGCCCAGTGTACTGTTCGTAGCGTCGGGTATTTCATCGAATGTAAAACGAGTGCACATATCTTTTTCATCCAAAGTTACTAGGTAGCAGTTTCGTTGGGGTTTTATATTTCCAATCGAATACGTATTTCCATATATTTTTTTTTAACAAGTGGAACCAGACAACAATCTATATGGAGTCCAATTTTAATTGGTGTTGTCCATCAAAGTGATACAGATTGTCTGCATGGGATTAAATTTACACGTCTAGTAACTTCGTTTGTCTCAATTTATGATAAGGTATTTTAAGGTTTTTTACCTTATCCTTATGTACCTCATCCTTTCCCGATAGTATTTGGCATTTCCTGCACATAGACGAAGTTTTCAACTTCATTAGATGTTATTTGATTCATATATGTTTAAATATTTTCATCTAACATTTATTGTTTTAAGTATGCTTTAAGATTATTGAAATACATATTTCAATATAATACTTCTTCCTTTTAATTTCCTCATCTTTTACCTAGATTTACCATGGCAAATTAGTCAAAGTTGTTGTAACATAATCCATCATAATACAATATTTACACAATTATTCTGGGAACTCCACATGACTTCCTATTTTTTTTACTTTATCTATGACATGGAAATGTTGGAATAGATAATTGTTGTTTTCTTAAAAAAAAAATTTCCTGTATGTCTGTTTAATACTTTCTCCAATGGTCTACTTTCCTATTTTGTTTAAGAAGTATTTGATCATTAAATTAATTATTCTTTAACTGAGTCCAAAGACCTCAATTTTTCATTTTATTTTGTTTTCATCATTTGAGTGACGAGCATCTAGCTCTCGAAAATATGAGATAGTGAAAACAAATATGCTTAAGTAGCTAAATTTGAATCAAAATAGGGTTTCCATCTACTTAGAAGCATGGCACATGTCTCTACAATTTCGATTAATGTTGGTCTCGGATGCTCTTATGATGTATCCATTTCTATATTTGTTTAATTCACAAAGTGGGATGTTCGACTAGAATATTGTATTTAGCGGCAATACTGTTTGGGGGAGACCATTTATAGTTTGTGTGCGTGTAATTGGGACGGGGTATGGGATTTTTAGTTTTTGTTTTACCTGGAATTTTTTTTTCACTGAAAAAAAGATAAAAATTAATAACATACAATTTTTTTTTTTTTAATTTTCAAAAGAAACAAACTTTTTGTCACACTTTCCTCCTAAAAAACAATTGTTTTTTCCAAATAATTCAGAATAAAAAAAGGTATTAAAAAACAAGTGTCAGTTTAGTCCATGTACACTGCTTGTTTTTTCTCTCCATAAAAAAAAAGTAAAATAAAAAAAATACCGAACTCCAAGGAAAATTGCAAAACGCAAAGTCCATTATCAAATGGAAAAATTAAAACCTCAAACACATCAAACGAATGAAAACAACTGTCATATTCCTGACTAGGTACAGGCATTTCCTTATGTGGAAAATGGGGGTCTTTTTGCAATTAATAATGCAGTATTTATTTTACTTGACGGTTTACATAATTCAATGTGACATGTTTTCGAAATACATGAATAAGTATTATATGAGAAAGAAGAAAAGAAGAAAAATCAACAAATAGGCATTTGCTAGATATCCGTTTTTTTTTAAATAGTTGAATGGTGTTAAATCGAATACTAGTATAAATAATATGTAAATTTATTCTTCATTTTTTTTAGTATGTCCATTCATTTCACCTTTAAACTGCAAGTGTCATAAGTCGAAAACGAGAGTATTTAAAAATATTATTCATATTAACAGGCTATTTCTCCTATGTAACTCAATGTAAATGTAGATAGAATAACGAACTGAGATTTTAATAAACCAATTTATGACTTGAAGTGGTATTTAAATGAAATAATAACTGGTCGATATATTTTAATTTCTAACTGTGTCTTGCTTTTCTTTCCTATAATTTGTCTCCATGTTTGCCATCAATACAAGTTAACAGAAGAAAATAGTACATGATGTACAAAACCAATTTTTTTCGGATTTCAACTTTCTTCAGGCTTTATGATAAATCATTTGTTAAATAATAATTTTCCAAATTGCTGTATAAACATTTCATAATTGCTATTTCTTTTTCCGAGTATATACACGTAACAAACATGCATAGCTTACCTGTTACCCAAGGGGCAACTAATTTCGGAATATTCAACGAATCTAAAATCATTCCACTATTAAATATCAGAGTCACCAGTTGGTTTGAAGTACATCCAAAAGCAGCTGTATAAACAATGGCTAGATTATCATCTTGCAAAAAGTTTATCGGTCTGAAATATATAACAAAAGGAAATAAATTGATGACAGTTTTTTTGTAGGATTTGAACAATATCTTTTCATTTACATTACCTACGATGCCTTTATTGAATTATTTTGCATAATAACAAAACATTGTGGCAATGCAATATTTTTACTCGGTCACTTGTATTTCTTTTATGTTTTCTCCATTTCTTAAATAATGATAGTCAGAGTCTGTTGTGGTACGATTTTGGTTCACATGCCGAGTTTGTTATAGAACTGAACTAGTGATTAGACAAGTTGTCTTTTATAACAAATTGTCTCTGCAGACAAAGTCAACTGTCTTTCCCTAAATTATTTTTTAAATATCAAAAGGTTTTTTTTTCATTTCCGATCGGCCGGCCATAAAACTCCTTTGATTACTTTTCTATCATTGAAAAGTATCAGTAAATTAATAACCGATCTTGCGAGACCCTTATGGATAGTCAAGGTCGTTAAACATCCCAGTAGAAGAAGTCAATTACGATACATCTTTTAAAATAGTGATGTTCGGAGATAAAGCTTGCAGAAGATAGTACTTTCAAGATATTTGAAGAATTGTGTATAAATCTGGTAAAAGGAAAATCAATGTTTTTGTTGCATTTTTATGTAGCTTTATAACATTAAGAAGAAAGAAGAGAAGGACCAATCATGTTTCAGAATGCAAAATTAAAAATTAGGAAATCAAATTTTAAATTAAATTTTCAGAACTCGAACATCAAGAGATATGTTTCCTGCGCTATCGTAGTTCAAATCTAAAACACAACAAATACAATTCTTGATTATGATAAATACACGAGGAAGGATTTCACATGTTAAATGTATGATGCCAAAACTGCTTTACATTATAGAGCTTTGCCGCTTAAAAAATTGTCAGTGTAATCTTAATCTTATACCGTAAATTAACGATATAATTGTGTAAAAACAAAGGACTACACAATTTTAAAGGATATCTGCCAACATTTTACCAAGCAACTGAACATTTCTGTAATTGTAATCTTATTTCTTGATTTCACGTTAACACTGGAAGAAGGAGAGATCGGTTGTCACTTCGATTCTTTTTCGAATGGGTCATGTTTTTCCTCAGATCGTAACTTCTTCATGTTAGAATTTTTTCTGTAGAATAAACTTAGTCATTCAGTAAACCTATCAGTTAACAAAATAAACTTTTCTAGAACAATAAACTACTACCTAGCAAGGTACAATTCACAATACATATATAACATATATCAGAAGAAAAAATGTCAAAATATTTGTATTAGAATTAGCGTCACATGCTGAGAAACTTGGATGTTTTATGTTAATAGATGCGACCTATTACATATTTCATTTACAAACGGAATCGTTTGTTTGTTACCCGGATTTGTTTTTGCTTAATCGAATTATGACCATTGAACAGCGGTATACTACTGTTGCCTTTATTTCCTAAATAATGAAGCTTAAAATGGTACTTATCCAGATGCCCCTTTCATCAAAGGGATTCTCTCCAAAGAAAAAGTGCACACTCTACAAATTTGCACCTCGGTGTTGAAGTTCATACTACTACAACAGAATTCCTTTGTTTTTCGTCTACTTGACATGCGTCTAATTTGGACTTTTATCGATATTAACTGATATCTATCAAATTTGCAGATGTTTGTATCAATTAAAATTGAAGGTGAACCTGTGGCAAAGTGTGTACCATCTTCATTTATGCAGTTCCAAAATATATTGCGTCCGCTTTTCGGTGTACAAAATAAAATTTGACAAGTGTTAAACCAACAGTTATGTAGTGGTTGGCAAAGAATGCCATTCCCCTCCCAAGGTGACCGATGGAGACCGTAGCGATGCCTCATTTATTTACACAGGCTAAATATATAATCATTGAGAATTTAATGTTATAAGTAAATCAAGCTTTTTTTAATTGTGTCAATGAAGACGAATTCTCTGCCATTGTGTGAGAAATTGTTTAAATAATTTTGACATTATCAAAATGATTATATTATGAAATTTAAATATTTTTTTTTAAAAATGATTGATTTATTACTGTTAGTAATTTTATATAACTTTAAATCGACTTTTGTAAAGGTTTGGCAATGTTCCTGAATATAAAATCATTCAACTTCGTGTATTTAAAGAATTACTTACTATAATTTAAAAAAATATTTAATGTGCATTAAAAGAATTACTAACTATAATAAAAAGAAATACTTAATGTGTATTAAAAGAATTACTTACTATTATTAAAAGAAATACTTAATTTGAATTAAAAGAATTACTTACTATAATAAAAGAAATACTCAATGTGTACTAACAGAATTACTTACTATAATAAAAAGAAATACTTAATGTGTATTAAAAGAATTACTTATTATATATGAAAAAAATACTTATACTAATTATTAAAAGAATTACTTAAGATACATAGAAAAATTACTTGCATTTAATTACTAGCTAATTACTTACAATTACTTGGAATTACTAGTAATTACTCATTTTTTGACAAACATTTTTACTTGTTTTTTTACTTGATTTGAGTCAAAACAATACTTGTTTTAAGTAAAATCTAGTAATTTATCTTTTTTTAATGTGGCATTTAATTTTTAGAATATTGTACATCTACGAGAACGGAATGTAGGGTTTTTACTTTTAGATTTATCATAGTTGTACATGTATCGACACAAGTGTGTTGTGTTTTAATGTCCACGTATTTATGTTATTTATACACAGGTCTGTTTGGTTTGATATTAATTAAATAGGGGTAGAATTTCATGATTGGGTAGTTTGTTATTTAGGTCATTCGAGTCATTTCAGTCAAGTGCACTAGAGGTTTTTTTTAATTCTTATGTTCGGTTTATGCACCGTAGCATGGAAAATTATTAAAGTGATGACACTTTTTCAAATACCATTAGACCACCCGAGGCGGTTCGTATAGAGCAACAAACACCCGAAAAGATTGCTGAATCCATATTATGCCTTTTTAAGGAAATTTTGATCGCATAACAGGTATTTTAAAACGTGATGAAAGAAGAAGCAGCAAGCAAATCTGATAAAGGTTTGAAGAAGATTAAAGCAGAACATTCCTATAGATTTGAGTTTGCCGTGACAAAAGTTCAGTTTGAATTTAATTCTGACATCGACCCACGAGATATCAAGAATCAAACGCGCTGAAGGGTCCAGAGAATATCATAAAATCAAAGATATTTGCTATGATCTCAAAGAAAAAATTCAAAAAGCGCTATAATTGCATTAAGATTACAGACAAATCCACAGACAAATGGGACAGTCAAGGAGTATATATAAGACGATCTGACATCAGATACCGATGTTGAGAGAAGAATCCAGGCAGCAGAAACCGTGCTTCCAAAATGAAAAAGAATCGAGAACAAGGGCTGGTCAAACATACATTCGGCAACAGTTATGGGTAAAAAAAATGCTGAAAGTTTCCCGCACAGTACCGACTGTCACTTATACTAGTGTTTCTGACATAATTTTGGTGCCTACGACAAAATCGACATTGGACCAATAAAATCCACCGACATTTGTTTTGGTTGCCAGACCATGTGTCAACTGGCCAAAATTTAACAAGCCAGCAAACTCCAGATAAAGAAATTAATGAGAAGTATTGTTTTGATTTTGTTGACAATGGCATGTGTGGTTTAAAGAACAGTTAATATACTTTACAACTAGATGCGTAGGGATATGAACAATCAACTAGTGTACAATCTGTAAAAGGTAGACTTGAAAAACAATTTGATTGTTTGAAAAAGATAAAAAAAAAAAAATATGTATTAGACATTATTGACAACGACTATGTTATTAAAAACAAATAACTAACTTCACAAAACAAACGAACGTCCTTCTTTTTCAACAATAATTATAGACCTCCGTCCTCCTATATGATGATAATAAATAAAGAGAACTCTCCCCATTATAATTTATAGAGAAACTCTACATGTACATTTTGATTCAGGTGTACTAATGATAGTTGAACATTCCTTTCTTCATATATTGACATCGGGAATTTTCATATATTATTACTGTTCTGTTTTGCACACATATGTTTTGCCACAATTTGGTCTGCAATTAATAGAGTCTTTGTTTTGACGTCCGGTGTTTACATAGTTCACTAGTTAGAGCGTAAAACAAAAATTTCTTTAATTCTTACATCTTTTACATCCTTGGCTTTCAAATATTCGGCTTTGAGCGTGCCTAGTGAAAGTAATTCCAGAAGAGCGTTTTACTGAAATATACGACAAAAGAGATTTCAACATTGCCATAACAAACATTCTGTTTTTAGATGGTGTTGTTCCTCTTGACGCACTTACGATGTGTACATTTCACAACTAGAATATGCTCTAATGATGTTGACCTTAATGAGCCTAATATTGCGTTTACATCAAAGTTTACAGAATTAGAAATACCACAGCTTATCAAATACTTTAAACACAATTACATTCGTTTAATGTGTTTGTGCTTTTGATTTTGCCATTTGTTAAGGCACTTTCCGATTTGAATTTACCTTGGAGTTCGGTATTTTTGTTATTTTACTTTTTACAATCGATCAGCATATTTTTTGTAAATATAATATTTCTCGTACAAACTGAAAATCATATTACGGCATTTGTCATAATTGTAGAGTCTTTAATACAACTAATTCAAAACATTGAAACATTATATATTTTAACTCTAGAAAGTTCTTACACCATCCAAAAACGAGGGTTTCATGTGTGATATACTAACTAATTTAGCTAAAATTCTTTCTTTTGATTCGTTTGATTTTTTTGAAGAGTCAATATAATTTCAGATTTCCCATTGTGGACTTTGCATTTTAATGTGACAATATGTCAGTAGCGCCTACATATTGAATATTTATCCTCCATAGGATACGATATTCCAGGTCTTGTGTTTCCCAATGATTTCATTGGAAAAGGATTAGCAGTTTTGTGTTGACATAATATATATATATTGTTTATAAAATGTTGAATTATTCGAAATAGTAAGGTTTTTCCTTCTCAGGCATAGATTGCCTTACCCGTTTTTGACAAATATTTTATGAATTTTGACTTTTAACGCTATTCACTTAGAATGACTTTTCAACTGTATTGTTTATCTGGGTCGATGCCTCTACTAGGTCACGTTTCGTAACCGGGGGCCTTGGGGAGGGGGGGGAGATTACAAGTCCAGTAGTCACCACTTTTATGTTCACATAAAATATCCTTTCATGCAAACTTTTTTTATTATAAAATGCTTTATCCATATTTGGCACAACTTTTTGGAATTTTCTGTTTAAGATGATTTTCAACATCGAATATAATTTGGCCTTTAAACTGTTTTGATTCGAGTGCCACTAATGAGTTTTATGTAGACCAAACGCGCGTTTGGCGTACCAACTCAAAAGCCTTGTGTCTTTGAGGAGTTTTAACAAGCAATGGGCCGATGCCAGTGTTGGTGGACGCTTCGTCCCCGAGGGTGTCACCAGCCCAGTAGTAGTTAGTTTTTTTGGTGATGACATGAAAAATCATTGATACGTTCATTTTCTGTACTCTTTATAGAATGTTGATAACTCGAAATGCTAAGTTTTTTCTACCACCCTTGCGTGGAATGCCTTATCCATATTTGGATCCACTGTTTGGAATTTTCGGTATTAGATGCTCTTCAAATTCGAGTTTGATTTGGCCTTCCAACTGTTTTGATTTGGGCGCCACTGATTAGTCTTATGTAGATGAAACGCATGTCTGGTGTACCAAATTATAAGCCTGGTATCTTTGGTGAGGTTTTGATTCGAGCACCATTGGTTAATTTTAGGTAGACGAAACGCGAGTCTCGTACAAAATTATTATCTTAGATAATTTTTTTTCAAGCCAGCAATTAAAACCAAGGATTCGTTATGTTAAGATTGAAGTCATTTCTTCGAAAAGTTAACGGATATTATTATATTTTGGATAACTTTTATGATATATCTGTCTCACAGATAACTATGGGTATGTTCAGCATCTCGTCCTCGTTCCTTCGTTTATTACATTACCTTTTGCGACAAATCATCGAAATTCACACACAGGTGCAGCAAGTGCAACATAAACTGTTTATATCTCTATTTTTTTGGTAGGTTCGTGTTGATCAAGCATGATGCATGTTTGGGTTTTATTTCACTGTTCTTTGTTCGTCCTTTTTTCATTTGGGCATGTCACCGGAATATAATTTTGCCATCAGTAATGAGACATATGCCAATAGTGAGCAGAAACTCCTTACAAACCCTGGATTTTGGTCGGTTCGTGTTGATCAATCTTTTTTCTATGTACCTTTGTTCTCTTTGCCATTGTGGTTTTTAGTCATTTCGATGTCTGTCTTTTTTCGACTTGGGAATAGGATATTTGGTATTTACTATCCTTTTTATGCAATAAAATTGTAATAATTGTAATTATCCAAAATATAATCATTTCAATTCATAAAAAATGTATCTGATGCTGCTCTACTGATCTACCTGACAGTCAAGTTTAGATTTGTTACAAGTGAATTTGATTATCGCCTCAAAAATAAATTAATTTGGTGATAAAAATATCATATGCAATTGAAATAAAGGAAAGATACTCACATCACAATACCTGGTTTTCCACCCAGTTTGTTCTTTTCAAAGCAAGATAGAAAAACTGAGAGCAAAATCTGAAAAAATAAGACAGACTTTACAAGTCATTTTAAATAAGGTTAAGTGTTTATACTCTTTACACTGCCACCGACAGGCCAATAATAAGAGGGTCATCTCGAAAAATTGCCAAAATTGGGATTTCTTATGATATAAATGATGCACCTCAATATTTCAAAATTATGGTCCGATATCTAAAGGAATGCAGCACTGGAATAATAGGAATTTATGATAATACATTACCAAAAGTAAAAGGTTACTGTTTACTGCGTTCACAAAATTACCTAAAAGAGAAGTTTACAATAGGGTTGGTCAACTCATAAGTCAAAAACAACTGACAATGTTATTAAAAAAAAACAATTCAATTAAAAATGTCTTTAGCAAAATCTATAAGTGATAGAATTTTGTATCGATCTGATGAGTTAAGAGCCCTTTTCAACTGATTTTTATAGTTTGTTCTTATGTTGTGCTGTTACACCACTGTCCAAGGTTTAGGGGGGCCCGGGGTTAAGCGCTCACAAACATGTTTAAGTCCGCCACATTCTTTATGTGCCTGTCCCAAGTCAGGAGCCTGTAGTTCAGTGGTTGTCGTTGGTTCATGTCTGTCGTATTTGTTTTTCGTTCATTGTTTTGTAATGAATTAGGCCGTTAGTTTTCTCAATTGAATTGTTTCGTTTTTTTCATGTCGGAGCCTTTTATAGCCAACTATACGGTATGGATTTTTCTCATTGTTGAAGGCCGTACGATTGCCTATAATTGCTTACATCCACTTAATTTGAACTTTGGTTGATTGGCAATCATACCACATCTCCATATTTTTATAGTGTATTATATTTTGAACCAGCCATTTTGTCTAAATACACAAATGAAAAATTCAAATTGAATTATACTAACATATTACACATATAGTTTAAAATCTGAACTGTAATCTTAATTATAATAAGACAGCCTTAATTGATGTTGGGATCATAGCCTATTCAATTTAGCTCTAAAATCGCTCAACCCGCAACTAATTACAACACAAGGTTTTTTTAGTGCAAATTATAATATAGACTTGTACTAACAACATACTAAAACTATACATTGATATAAATTGCGGAAAAGGTTATTTTGGGGTGAAATATGTGGTTTTTAGAGAAAAAATGCTGAAAACTGGAAAAGAAGAAAAATTGTTATTTATGGTTACATTTTTAGAACTAAAGCTTGTTGAAGACAGGAAACCTTATCTTAATAGAGTATTATGTAGTCCTCTAGTTATTATTATTCATACTGAAGTAATTTTGAGGTGAAATGAGTGATTTTTAGTGAAAAAACGCTGAAAGCTGGAAACGTTGAAAATCTCCGTTGTTAATTGTTAATATTTTTGAAATTTGATCTATATAGAAAAAAGAACATACTATTTTATGTTTTATTTGTGAAGTTCTTTAGTTATCAATATTAATATTTGGGTAATTTTGGTTGAATATATGTTTTAAGACCGAAAACCCGGAAAACTGGAAATGAAAATATCTCGGTTATTGATGGTTAAAACTTTCAAATTGGGATCTTAACAGAAAATAGAGAATAATATCTGATGTTTATCTTAAGAAGTCCTATAGTTATTAGTATTTAAAAAATTGTAATTCTTGTGTAAAATGTGATTTGTAGAGAAAAATTGTGAAAAATGGAAATAAAAAACTCGATTATTCATGGTTAAAACTTTTAACATAGGATCTTTATAGACAGACTATATTATCTTATGTTTATCGCATATGTGTTCCTCTTGCTATCGATATCAATAATAATCAATTTGTTGTGTGAAATATTTTGTTTTACACACTAACTACAAAACAAGAATATATCCATAGTACACGGATGCCCCACACGCACCATCATTTTCTATGTTCAGTGGACTGTGAAATTGGGTCAAAACTCTAATGTGGCATTAAAATTCGAAAGATCTTATGATAGGGAACATTTGTACTAAGTTTCAATATGATTGGACTTCAACTTCATCAAAAAATACCTTGACCAAAAACTTAAACAAAAAACTTTAATCTGAAGCAGGACAGACGGACGAACGAACAGACGCACAGACAGAAAAACATAATGCCCCTAAGTGAGGGCATATAAAATGAAAATTTTAAAATCTTGATTATTTCTTAGACTAGTTTGATTTTTAAAAACGAAAAAATGGAGAATGGAAACAGGGAATGTGTCAAAGAGAAAACAAGGCCACTAATGGGTCTTTAACATAGCAAGTATGACCCCTTAATTATTTTGTACACTAGTTCAGCAAAATGGACACCACCCTAAACTCCAGTACATACAAATGAACCAAAATTATCACAAAAAAAAACACACACAAGACAAACAAAGGCTAGAGGTTCCTGACTTGGGATAGGTGCAATAATGTGGCAGGGGTAAAACATGTTGTGTGAGAACTCAACCCTCCCCTAGTTTCTCTAGACAATATAGAATAAAAAACACACAGTAAAACTCAGTTTTAAATATGTGCATTTTGTGGAAGTTTGAAATTTTATATTATGTTTCGGTTATGTATTTATAGTAATTATACGTGTAGGTATAATAAACAAAAAAATGATTGTGTTCAAAAATAACTGTAAATCAGTTTGGCTACTGACTTTGACTTTGTCATGTTAATTGCTGGAAAAGTCATTTTTCTAGTGTCCTTGCATCGTTATTGACTGTAGTCCTTTTTGTGTATTTTTTCATTAGCTACTTTTACAATATTTGAATTGCATAAAGTCACAGTTAAACACAGAAGATGTGATTGCAGATTTCTCTTAATGTTTTGATAATTTTATTTAGCAAGCTCTATCAATATCCACGTTTAATTTCAGATATATAAGATTTTTAAATTTAGGAACATATACTAGTTCACTGAATTAGCATTAAAAGAGGGGCAAAAGATACCAGAGGGACAGTCAAACTCATAGATCGAAAATTAAATGTAGATCTGATATTGTTTAAGGCAATTTCAAAAGCAGCTTTGTCAATACGATTATAAGTTTACCTCAAGAGCTTGAATTTAAATAGTAATTGTACTAAAGTGGGCCAATTTTGGATGTTGAAAATGAGATAAGCACTGTTGAATGAATTAATGGGATCACTTGCTGGAGGAAGTGTTAACAGCAACAGCGCCTTATGTGTGTACCCTATAAACCTGCATGTATGTGATGGTCTAAAACATCAACCAAATGGTAAAGACAAAGAACTAACATGGGTTGTCTGCTATATGAAAATATTATGATCAAAGATATATATATACTTACTAGTATATAAAGAAAAGCATTACCAAGTTATTTATTTAATATATCTCATTGAATTAATTTAATAAAAGGTAATCAGCTTTAGCCTAAGAACTGTAAAAAAATGATCATGCATCATCTGTGTATGAATTAAAATTTGTAGTGTCTGAGGGCGACTTTGATGGCCAGAGATAGCGTTTAGATAGTCATGTCTAATCTGAAAGTATGTCTGTTGGTTTTTGTTAGTCGTTTGGGTTGCTTTCTCGTTGACTTTAAAAACCTCAAATCTCTCTTTATTCATAAATATACTCTATTACAGATATATCAATGTTAAAGACGCTGTTTTCTGCTTCCGGAATGCTGACCTGTATTCAACTCATTTGAACGAAACTATAAAAATATTTTAAAAAATACACCTCATGCCAAAAGAATATAAATATTTAGCTTTTAAGGTCCGCTAAACTCTATCAGTGATCTCTTGGTAGTAAGTTTGATCGCTTGCCAATGAAACCATCACTTAGTATAAAATTTCCCCACTTTATAAACATAAGAAGATGTTGTATGATTGCCAATGAGAACTTTCCACAAGAGATATCAATGATGTTGGTGTGGATGTAAACAACTATAGTTCATCGTCAAAATATAAAACAAGTCAAACTAGAAACTCAAAGGCCTGATTAATGTTAAAACAATAAACGGAAAAACAAATATGACAGACAGCAAACAATAACAACCAAGTAATAAAGGGCCACTGACTTGTGATAATCATATCCATAGTGTGCAGGGTTAACCCTGTTTGCGAGCACTCAACCCTTCAATAATCAGGAACAGTTTTTATTTAGGGGCCGGCTGAGGACCACCTTCTGGTGCGGGATTTTTTCGTTGCGTTGAAGACCCATTGGTGGCTTTCGGGTGTTATCTGCTCTTGATCTGGTCGGGTTGTTGTCTCTTTGACATACAGTATTCCCCATTTCCATTCTCAATTTTATTTAAATAGCAAACAACGTAAGAACAAATTGAAAACCCAGTTGGAAAGGGCTCAACTCAAAAAGATCAGAACGGAGTATATAACCAATTAACAAAAAGACACTGAGTTCTCATAGCTAGTTTAAAGCTTAGTAATTACAGTTGATGAATAAATAATGTTGGCACCGATTAAAATATAAATAAGTACACATTCGATTAGAAACCAAAGTGAAAAGTGGATTCAGTGTTACAGTCAAAGCTTTATTGATATGGTGTGTGAGTACTGAGATCGTCGCAAATTACATGAGTAGTTATTTGCTTCGAGGAGCCTGAAATTTTCATTTGTGAAAAAATATTTAACATAAAATAATTTAACACTCATCATTCTTATGTTTTTATGAAACATTGTTGGATTCTAAATCTTAACATGTTTGTTCCAGAAGGTAAATGAAAAAAAAAAATATTGTTTTCTTTCTAAAGTTGTGGAGAAAAAATACCTTAACGACTTTGAATCTTGCAATAACATTTTTTTTATAAAGGACAAAACATGTTTTTCTGGAACCCCTCCCCTAACAAAAAATAAACTGTCTGTGCCTTTGACACAGGAGCAGATTTTTTTCAAATACCAAGTAAGAATGTGACTACGTTGGTTACTCTAATTCAGTACAGTTTTCCATTTATATGTTACTTACCAACACTATTTTGGAGAATTAGATTCTTGGATTGTAAAATAGCAGAACACAATCTCGGTCTATATCTTTATTCAAATATACAAATTTTGAGACAGGAAAGTGATTCATTTGTAATATTATTCTTTTGAATTGAAATAATTATGTATTGTATTGTATTATTTCAACTGTTTTAAAAAATACAGAACATTTTTTGTATAATTTTATTTTTTTTCAACTTTGGCAAATAAGGGGAAGCAACTCATATAACCTTATTTTTACTACAAAACATTTTTATAAATTACACTACTTTCCGCAAAATATATTTTTGTATAGTTTTAGTATGTTCAGAGAAAAACTTTGTGTTGCAATTAGTTGCAGGTTGTACACTAAATTGACTAGACTATCAATGCTACAAAAGTATAAGGTTGAAAACTACACTTCATAACACTCACAGTAAACTGATCCACAGTACCCAGATCATGGCATGCATCGCACCTAGGACCCATAGATAGGACCAAGTCATGTATTAGTCCAAGATCACAATGACTTTAAATAGACTGATTTTTGTGATAAATTCTGATGTTTTGAAAAATATGCCACTTTTTGTTAATTTTGCTCATGTTTCATGTAACATGCTCCTTTTAGAACTAAAATTGTTGCTTTATGTGGACGGATTTTATGATAAATTCTGATATCTAAACATATTATATTTCTTAGTGATTTTGATATTTTTTCTCTCATGTATAGGATAATATTTTGTATAGGAGACTCAGTGCTTGAAGTATAATATGGTGTTTAAATACTGCGTGAATACATCATTGTGTTAGTAAACTCTTATCTTTTGTGACTTTGTACCAATGTTTTGTTGATAGATTCACTCAATGGCAAAAACTTTTCATTACTCAAGCAAACTTAACACAAGAGTTTTGTAAACATATAGAAAAACAAAACTTTTTTAAAATTGGACATTCATATAAAAACTTAAACGGTTTTATGGATATTTACCTGAAGTTAATAAGCTTCATGTTTTTACAAGCTAATCTGATTTAAACCCTTGTTTATCTAACTATTTCTCCTATTCCCGGTGCATTACATTTGCGCGCAGCTTTTGATTACATTTGCGCGCATTCTTTTACAGGTAAACTCAGGTAAATACAGGTAGATCATACTTATTTATTTACTAGTATTATTTTTTAGCAGGATAAGTCTGTTTTATTGTGCACATGCAAGCACTAAAAAAGGTAAAAACATAGTAAATCTAAAGAATAAAAGTACTGATTTCACATGTCGTAACGTGCACAAAAATACATGGATGCCGTACGGTTGCCTATATTTGCTTACATCAACTTCATTTGAACTTTGGTGGATATTTGTCTCATTGGCAATCATACCACATGCATCTCCTTATTTTTATATGGATGCGCATTGCAATGAATTATCCACTGACTTAAGTGTTCTGTCGATACGAAAGTAAATCCATCGTACACAAATGATTTTTCCACCGACTTATATATGATAAACTAAACTTCATGTGTGTGTTTGAAGCATTTTTCAAATTGACTTAAATTATTTATAAAAGCGATCACTATTCGGTAAAAATATGAAACAGAATTCTCTTTACTCTGAAATATTCGCAATTATTTGTAAGTCTAAAGCTATTACGGGATTTCTCATGATCACTATATATTTTTTTAGAATTCAATATGAAAAATATATAATTTACAATTACAAATAGAATATGTTCAAAATGCATATTAACTATAGCCATATTTATTATGAATTATCTTCATTTTACCTGTGTTACCAGTAAAATGAATGCGCGCAAACGTAAAACATGTCAATCCCCAAATGCACGCAAATGTAATACATAGATTATTTACAAATTACACGACAGATTTTAAAAGCAATGTAGGAATAGGAGGAATAAACCGGTGCACCATATCTTACAAAAACAATATCTGTGTTATCAATTTTAACAGTTAGACTTTAACTTAAACCATTGAGTTGTTAAATAAAATAGCAACACCTCTAGAATTAGTTTCCCCGTGCGAAAAATAAACAGTCCCACTTCATTATCGTTTCAATATAGTTTCATAAAATTCAATACTGTGTGTTTCTTTTAAAGTGGTACCTAACACTACAGGGAGATAACTCTGTAAAAATCAGCTAAAAGTTTTAATTACGTTGTATTGTTAAGGAAATATTAAGCTTCTCAATGATCAAGATTAGTGTTTGTCAAACTGCTATATAACCAAAGAAATTTTTCTGATAAAGTGGTTGGTTCAAATTTTTTGAAATTTTTATATTTTTGTCAAAATTTAGGGTCAAAGTAAACATTTTGTCAAAATTTTATGAAAATTAAACGAGCCAAATTAATGTTAGTCAAGGTGTTGGGTACCACCTTAAGAACATGATGTCGCTTTGAAATTTTTTCATTCAAAGAAACATTGATTTACGTTTAAAATCGTTCCCAAAGCAATTTACACTGATATATTACTAAATTGATACAATATATAGTAAATCTTGTCCTGCAGATCATTTTTATTATCTAATGTTTCTCTCTATCGATAATTGTCATGGTCATAAAAGTCAAAATCGCAAATAATGCTTAAAACGTAATCTAAGGGAGAAAGCGTAATAAAAATAAGCCGTTTGAAAACCGTGATCAAAATAAACAGTACGTCGCTTTTAACAATGCCAACACTTCTATCTTGTCCGATTTTTATGTAGCTGTCATGGGTTTTTAAGATAATAGAGAATACTTGCTTTTCCCTTTGTTGTATGTTTAGCCTTGGTAGCCATGTGGGTAGGGATCATCCGTCACATTTTATTAAAATAAATACCCCAAGGTTGACCGATGTCAAGTTCGGTTCCAATTTGTCGAAGTTTCAGAGAAGTTTTTTGTAAAGGTGAACGTTTCTGTACTAGCATAAAAAACGGATATTGTGCTACAAATTTTTGAAATTATTTGAAATTACGGAATATATTTCCCTCAAGCGGGGCTCTGATTCCTTTCCCGCCTATGGCTATACTTTTTGTCCTTTTTTGTTTTATCAGCTCTTCAATTTTTTATTAAGTTTTGGATTTTCATATATTTTGGCCTCGAGCATCACTGATGAGACATTTATTATTTTATCAAATTACTTGCATAAGTTCATTTATATTGTTAATATTGTGTACATGCAGAACTAACTTACAGCTATGGCTAATGCTCCAGCCTCTAAGCCCGTTACTACACCAGCGGTAGAGGCTACATCAACATTATTGGAAGACCTTAAATACGAAGTTTTTTTTTAAATTAAACATACTGAAACAACCTTTCTTTGCTTTAAATTAAAAACAGATTTTAAATTATCTTAAAGATTTCTTATTAAGAAAAAAGGTATTGCGATTTCTCCGAAATACTTGAACCACAAATAATATAACGACGATATATTGAAAACACGGATACCAATGCATAAAACATCTTCAAATATAGTAGACTAGGATAGCCTAAACTAAAATTAAGTTGCCCGAAACTGCATACCTTTCCAAACGACGAAAATTCTTTAGTCTTATTTTAAGTATTCATGTTTGTTTTTCTTTATATTTTATTATATTTTGTGACTTCCCCACACTGATCGGACGAGGCTTTTTATGCATCCCTCATTTAAAAACACCGACACAATCGCCACCACATTACGGGCTCAGTGCCTGACGGGCAAGTTTTTGATAACCACGTGTCTATACCCCTAAGGTGGTGACGTACTAAACAATTTATAAACTCTGTACGAACAATATAAACTAGAAAATTTATTTTTTAGTTCATAAATTATGTAAATTTATAGAGACAAAGGGTGTACCGCCATCAGGCAAAGTTAAATTGTTTTGTTTTCCTCTATAAACGCAATTGTTCCAGAACTAGAAATGTATGACAACGATAATGTTCTGCTCGTCGTAACCGAAATTCCGTCCTCTAAATAGCTAAATCTTTGGTTTTTATGTAGTGTTTTTTTTTCTGGATTGTACTTTGTCTTTTCGTCGTTTTTCTCTTTTAATCATGTTGCTATCTGTTTTTCTTCGACTTCATGTTTTTGATTGCCCTCTAGCTTTTTCCTTTTGTAAAGCATTCCAAATAAAAAGTTATGCGTAAGCCAGTGAAAATTTAATTTAACCCTAGACAGGCTAAGTGTTATACAGTATGCAGTGATCTATCTTGTGTATACTTACATTGCCTGCTTCCTTTGTACTAAAAAACACATGAAAAAAATAGTAATATTGAAATAAACATAAAAGAATGATCATCAGTAGTGTTATCGATTTTCCGATAATTTATCCCTTCACATCTTTATTTACAAACAATTGATATTCCAATGGATACATGTACTAATTTGTGTGTTTTTTTGTGTACTCATTTGAACCAGAATTAAAACAGAAACAGAAGATGCTTGATTTCTTGATTTACAACATATTTGTCACGTTTAAAGGACGTGTTTTCCAACAAACAATCGGCATTCCCATGGGAACCAACTGTGCTCCTCTTCTTGTGGACTTGTTCCTTTATTCATATGAGGCTGACTTCATACAGGAACTTCTTAGGAAGAAAGAAAAGAAGTTAGCAATATCCTTTAACCTCACTTTCCGCTATATAGATGATGTTCTCTCACTAAATAATTCAAAATTTGATAACAATGTTGAACGCATCTATCCCATCGAACTTGAGACAAAGGATACAACAGATACAGTTAAGTCGGCCTCATATCTTGACTTACATCTAGAAATTGACAATGGTGGTCGGTTGAAAATAAAACTTTACGACAAAAGAGATGATTTCAGCTTCCCGATTGTGAACTTCTCATTTCTATGTAGTAACATTCCAGCAGCACCTGCATACGGAGTATATATCTCCCATTTGATACGATATTCCAGGGCTTGTATCTCCTATCATGATTTCCTTGATAGAGGGTTTCTATTAAACCAAGAGTTACAAGTGGTGATGTTGAAATCGTCCCTTCGTAAATTTTACGGACGCCTTCACGAGTTGGTTGACCGTTATGGAATATCCATTTCACAGATGACAATGGATATGTTCCAATTGTCGTAACTACAATCCCGTCTACTTTTCCCCGAATGTGACCTATCGGAATTAGACTTATCACCGGGTTTGTACTAACATGAGCAACACGACGGGTGCCACATGTAGAGCAGGATCGCCTTACCCTTCCGGAGCACCTGAGATCACCCCCAGTTTTCTATATTGTGTTTTGTGTACTGTTATAAAAATAAGGAGATGAGGTATGATTGCCAATGAGAAAACTATCCACCAAAGTTCAAATAAAGTGGATGTAAGCAATTATAGGCAACCGTACGGCCTTCAACAATGAGAAAAACTCATATATATACTGTATAATGAAAAATATAAAACAATTCAATTGAGAAAACTAACGGCCTAATTTATAACAAAACAATTAACGAAAAACAAATACGATAGACATGAACCAACGACAACCACTGAACTAAAGGCTCCTAGCTGACTTGGGACAGGCACATAAAGAATTTGGCGGGGTTAAACATGTTTGTGAGCGCTCAACCCTCCCCTAACCTTGGACAGTGGTGTAACAGCACAACATAAGAACAAACTATAAAAATCAGCTGAAAAAGGCTTAAAGTACTTTAACCTATAATGGTTTACTTTCATAAATTTTGACTTGGATGGAGGGTTGTCTTAATAGCACTCATACAACATCTTCTTATATCTATTAACTCATCAGATCGATACAAAGCAGAAAAACATCAATAATAAACACAGACCGGACGTAGCAGGGTATTTATCCATCCCTCATCCCTAACAACAAAAAGTTTGTTTGTCTTTTTTTTTTAGCCATGGCGTTGTCAGTTTATTTTAGACTTGTGAGTTTGAATGTCCCTTTGGTATCCTCCCTTTTTCTTCTCAAAAACAAAACTAAAAAGCATCCTACTCCGGAGCACTTGAGATCAACCCCGGTTTTGTGTGGGGTTCGTGTTGCTCAGTCTTTCTATGTTGTGTTTTGTTTACTGTTGTTTGTCTTTTGTTCCTTTACTATTTTTGTCATGGCGTTGTCGGTTAGTTTTCGACTTTAAATGTCCCTTTGGAATCTTTCTGCCTCTCTGCATTTACAGAATTATTTTCCTCTTCAAGCACATTGCATTTTTAACTCCTCAAACAGACAATTTTAATTAATCTAAAATATGAATATGTTTCTATTTAAAAATATAAACATATTTAAGGATAACATTTAATAAAAAATAAAACATTATTCAATTGTATTTGACAACAACAGAAAAAAACTACGCTTCATTGGTAACTGCTATTTACATGCTTTATATTCCTTAATCGGTGTCAAGACGGATGAAATTATGCTTGTTCTCTATATAATCCGATAGTTATGTATGTATTGATAGTGATACACATGGTTATCCTTGAATGTTAGCGACCTATTTTCTTACACGCAATGATAAGTGTGCTTGGTCATATAAAAAGGGGATTTCAAACTGCCAAAACGAATTCGAACTAAGCATCATGGATAACTATTGTTAAATACTTTGACATACAAACACATATACCAAAAAACCGCAATCTAAAACCGTTGAAACATATTTATTGTACTTCTATTTATTTGTATTGATTTAAAGATAATATAATTTCTATTTCTTGAAGATAACACTACAAAAGTCTAAAAGTCTGAAAAGACCAGTTTTTGTCTTAATTTGCATGAAATTTTACTCGACATTCTCCAAAAGTATGACTTGTGTCTTAATTTTTCTTGACAAATTCTCATTTATATTAAATTTGTATGAAATTTACTCGACATATTCTCGACATCCTGAATATGGTCTTAAAATTTCTTGACAAATTCTTGACATTTGAATACTGTCTTGAAATTTCTCGACATATTCTCGACATTCTTATTTTTTCTCAGTATGGCTTGACATATTCTGAACATTTTGAATCGTGTCTTAAATTTACTTGACAGTTCTGAGTTTTACAAATCATGACCAATATTCCTGATATAACTTTAATCTTTATTTCTCTTTATATGATATACTGTTGTTTCAAGTTACACTTCTTTACAACAACAAAAAAAGTTGGGCATGTAAAATAATTGAAAATTTGGGTATATAAATATTTTTACAAATGCAAATATGGCTATGAAATCTAAAGTATAAAATAATTCAAATGTGGGTGTGTTGATATAAAACAATTTCAATGTGGGTTTTTAAATAATTACAAATTTTGATTCCTAAATCTTATAAATTAAATGATTCAAACCAATCATACTGTAGACATATTTCATTCTACATTCATAATATTCAATGTTGATATGGTAAATAATTATTATACCAAAATGTGGTTTATATAAATAGCAAATTATGATGATATACAAATCATTCATTTAACAGAAGAAAAATTTGTGTAATGTCATCTGTTGGAATATATTAAGTATTACACATGGACAGGATGTTCCCCATAAAATTAAGGTATTCCACACCCCAGAGTACACGCAACTGTCAAATAGAAGTTCTTGCTTTACCTGTAATCAGCCATACAACTTATCAGTTGACCGACCATGCCACTACAATTTAAAAAGTTTGTTGATAGATGAAAATGAAAATCATCATTTTGATGAAAAAAAATTGAATTGAAATGGATTTTCTTCATCAAAATTATGAAGTTAATTATTTTAACATACAAACAAATTGAATAATTCCCAAAGATTAAAAGAAAATTATTATCTACTCCAGGAATAATAAAAAAAATGTATTTAGAATGGGTCCCATCAATGATTTCTATAGAAATCATCGGTCTTATGAAATGGTTCTCAAACAGACATGCATAATAAAGATCTAAACATTTTTTTCTTTTCAGGAAGGAGTTATCACAAATATTTATTTTTGATAAAAAATTATAAAATTCAACACTCAAATTTGAATGAAAAAATGTTTTTGGGTTGTTCTAAAAAATGAATAAGGTTTTTGAATCAAGATGGGAACAAATTCTTTGACCTAAACGAAAGCCCCCCCCCCCCTCTTTTTTTAGCCACACAAACCCAAAAGATGAATTGTGGGGTCCAAAAGAGATACAAGACACCTATTTTAGTAAAGCAAATTTGACTGGCAGTTTTGCGAACGGCAAAAATCTAAATGCTGTTTGTCAATACCTTCGACTTATATTCCAAGTGAAAACAATTACTTAAATGTTTAATAAAAATAAATCAAAATTAAACTACATGGGGGATTATTCAGGGTATTCCAACTTAGTTGCACCAAAAGGGTATCTTACTATACCAAATTAATCCTTGATTCTTCAAAGTTAAGTTTAGCCATAATAAAAAGGTGTATATAACAGCAATAGAATGTCATAAACAGTGCAGAATAAGTCTGTTCACATTTCAGGCGAAATTTATACTGTTGAGATAGTGTCAAGACATATTTAAGACTGTCAAGAATGTGTCGAGACATATTCAGACATTATTTAGAATGTCAAGAATATGTCGAGACATATTCAGACATTATTAAGAATGTCAAGAATATGTCAAGACAGATCGGGACAAATTTAAGACAGTCAAGAATTGGTCGAGACTAATCCAGACTCTTATCAGATGATACAGGAAGTGTCGAGAAATTTTAAGACAATGTTCATACTGTCAAGACACTTGTCAAGAAAAATCAAGAACCTTATTAGACAAATTCATACTATGTCAAGAATTTTTAAAAATTATTCAGACAAATTAAGAATGTCGAGTAAAAATTCATGCAAATTCAGACAAAAACTGGTCTTTTCAGACTTTTTGACTTTTGTAGTGTAATCTAGTCATTATTTTGTTAGAAAATACTGACAAAGGTATTTTGCATAGATTGAATATCTAAAAACTATAGTTGTAATAAAGATTGAGAACAATCTTTACACATTTTGTAGTTAAACGACAAGTTGAACAACAGATCCCAGGTTTCAGAAAATGCCAGCTTATTACATAAATTTTTTATCATATACTTTGAAGATGAAATTAACATCAACTACGTACCATAAACGGTCAGATGTCAAAAGTGTGTCACACTTTAAAATTACGCTATATATTTCATATAATTTATACTTATAACACAAATCTCAATTCTGGTCGAAAATATATATTTAGGTATATAGTATGTTTAGGGAAAACATTTCAATAGTTGTATATAAATAGTGATTTCTCCGTAGTGACACGTCATTAA